TGGTAGCGCCCCCCTGTCATTGAGTTTGGTGGGACAGTTCAGCGTGGGTCAGCTATACTCCAGATTTGATCTGGCTCTAAACAAAAGAAGAAAAAGAAAGAAAAACATGCAGGCATCAATGTGTGCAAATATGTTCAATCAATATTGAAGAAGTATGTTTAGTAAATAAATAAAAGTTCAATAACTTACATTTCCTGAACGAATTCCACGTCCAACTTCGGGTTTTTGTAAATCCGCGCCCCATCTGGTTCTATCGGAGTTGGCGCGGCTGAAGCGCTGGTATATGGACTTAGTAAATCTGCGTGATCGCTGCATGAGGCGCCAGTTCTGAGGCCCGATCCACTTGTATTATGATAAGCCAGGATGCTCTGGCTTAGCACCAAAATGATTTTATAATCCGCTCTCTTTTCTTTGTAATAAATATTTTAGGGGGTAGGTAAAGCACGTTTATCTTAAACACAGATAATAATAATATAATAATTAGTAATCTGTGGTAGAGCATTTTTACACTTTTATAGTTTCACCAATAGCCACTGGTGATATTTTTTTTCAGTAGCCGATAGTTAGGCATAAATCAACGAAAATTAAACTGTGGGTCTAGACAAAGTTCAAATTATAATCGCAAACCAGTCGAAATGCCCCTTTTATGTATGGAGATTTGACGGATTCGATTTTCAATTCGATCAAAAAGTGCGTTTTGTCTAGGGGGGCTGTGGGTCTAGTCAAAACGCACTTTAAAATCGCAAACTCATCGCAAACCAGTCGCAAACAAACAAACAAATCGCAAAAGAGGTCGATAACAAAAAAGGCTTAGTCAAACGGCAAAAAATCGAATCGCAAAGCCCTACCTATCGATAATCGAAAGACTGGATTGAAATTTCCCATACAAAGGCTTAGCCAACATGCATTTAAGACTCAATCAAAATCGAATCGAATCGCAACACCCGCCATTTTCATTGCGATTACTTAAACCCCGGTGATAAGCTTCGATTATATCGAAAACCAATAGGGTGAGTTGCACCACCTAACTTTGACCGTAACTATGTCGTTAACCGGTGTTTTTTAAAAAAAAAAAAAAAAAAAAAAAAAATTTGAACTTAACAATGACCGATATTCCAGATTTCTTCTTCTTCGTTTTTGATGTTGGCAATAAGTACAAGTTGTGTCATTTTCAAGTTTCAATGAGGGCTATCGTTTTAGCGCTCACCGGTTAGCGCCACTGTAGAGTAAGGTCCTGTCACTTGCTAGTCGCGAAGACAGTGGCACCAACTTGTGAGCGCTAAAGTGGTAGGAGGACTATCGCATTTACACTCATCAAGATGGCGCCACTGTAGAGTAAGGTCCTGTCAATCGCCAGGGGTGCCAACGAGTTACAAAGTGGGACCAAGTGGGATGGGAAATTATTTAATGAAGGATGATAGATGATAAACCTTTCCACCCTTTGAGTCTCAGTAAAGTTGTGATGATTTACTGAGACTTCATATAGACAACTCGAGAGAATCCGAAGAATCACGATGACGCTTCACATTCCCGCCAAGAAGTCCTACTTACTCCAGATTTGATCTGGCTCTAAACAAAAGAAGAAAAAGAAAGAAAAACATGCAGGCATCAATGTGTGCAAATATGTTCAATCAATATTGAAGAAGTATGTTTAGTAAATAAATAAAAGTTCAATAACTTACATTTCCTGAACGAATTCCACGGTTTTGTAAATCCGCGCCCCATCTGGTTCTATCGGAGTTGGCGCGGCTGAAGCGCTGGTATGGACTTAGTAAATCTGCGTGATGGCTGCATGAGGCGCCAGTTCTGAGGCCCGATCCACTTGTATTATGATAAGCCAGGATGCTCTGGCTTAGCACCAAAATGATTCTTTAATCCGCTCTCTTTTCTCAGTAATAAATATTTTAGGGGGTAGGTGAAGCACGTTTTTTATTTTTATTTAATGTTCTACGGCGCTGGGAGTAACTTATTAGCACAGATAATATAATAATTAGTAATCTATGGTGATAGTTTTATTTTCATTAGCCAATAGCCCAAAAAAAACCCAAAAATTGGAACTATTCTTTTCGGCTTCTGCCAAAATTATGCGGCAGCGTGCACAAGTTTTTGAAGATGCATATTGCACAATACCCTATTATAGCTGGTCCTATACCAAAATATCAATTGCATCCATAATAAATAAAATAATAATTAATAATAGACGCACATCTTATTAGTATACAGGGTGTCCCAAAAACAATGGATAACCCTGTAACCATCGATAGGCCTCGTCATGGTCTCCTTAACGTCAAATTTTGACCCCAGTAAAAATATCACCGTTTTCAAGATTTTTAAGTTTTTGTGCATTTTTAGAAAATTGCCACCTGCGATTACTTCTTCTCATGCCATTTCTACAAATGAGGATACTTTTCAATCTAGTTTTTTTCCTTATCACAAGGGATAGTTGGGCTATCAAAAGAAAATATTAAAGTTCAACAAACTAGTGTAAAAGTATGAAAATTTTAAGAAATTGCAGAGAAGAAGGAAAAATTAATTCATTGTCTTGCACTTTTGATCAGCCGTCGTGTAAAAAAAATGTAGGAAGACCATCGTGCCCATTACCTTAAAAACTTCCTTGGTTAATTGAGATTCTAAAAAAGTATCACAAGCCTATGTATTCTGTATTATTTTTATCTTATGGCTACTTGAATAGCAACTAGTATGAAAACGGCAAAAATGAGTTTTTCTCGTAATAGTTAAACTAGGACTGCATAGTGGCATTAAATACAAATGGGTAATTTTTAGCGTAAGAATTTAAATAAAGCAACATTTTATCATCATCATCATCATCATCATCATCATTTCAGCCGTAGGACGTCCACTGCTGAACATAGGCCTGTACCCCAATGATTTCATAATGACCGCTTGGTAGCGGCCTGCATCCAGCACCTTCCTGCTTACCTTTATGAGGTCGTCGGTCCACTTTGCAGGTGGACGTCGTACGATGCGCTTTCCGGTACGTAGCCTCCACTTTAACCCTGCTGCCTCAGTTCTGCAAACTACTGTGCCCTGCACATTGCCACTTCAGCTTGCTGATCCGTCGAGCTATGTCAGCGACTTTAGTTCGTTTACGGATCTCCTAATTTCTGATACGGTTTCGTGAAGAAACCCGAGCATAGCCCCTTCCATAGCACGCTGTCCAAAAAATCCACGTTTCCGAGCCGTGTATTATCACGGGTATCTGTCTATAGGCACATTTATAAGGTTTAAAACAAAAATTAAGTAATCACAAAAACGCAGAACGGACGACCAATGGGGCAACAGGGTTCAAGTGGAGGCTACGTACCGGAAAGCGCATCGTAGGACGTCCACTTACAAAGTGGACCGACGACCTCATAAAGGTAAGCAGGAAGGTGCTGGGTGCAGGCCGCTACTACGCGGTCATTATGAAAATCATTGAGGTACAGGCCTATGTTCAGCAGTGGACGTCCTATGGCTGAAATGATGATGATGATGATGATAAAATGTTGCTTTATTAAAATTCCTACGCTAAAAATTATCCATTTGTATTTAATGCCACTATGCAGTCCTAGTTTAACTATTACGAGAAAAACTCATTTTTGCAGTTTTCATACTAGTTGCTATTCAAGTAGCCATAAGATAAAAATAATACAGAATACATATACTTGTGATACCTTTTTAGAATCTCAATTAACCAAGGAAGTTTTTAAGGTAATGGGCACGATGGTCTTCCTACATTATTTTTTCACGACGGCTGATCAAAAGTGCAAGACAATGAATTAATTTTTCCTTCTTCTCTGCAATTTCTTAAAATTTTTATACTTTTAAACTAGTTTGTTGAACTTTAATCTTTTCTTTTGATGGCCCAACTATCCCTTGTGATAAGGAAAAAAACTAAATTGAAAAGTATCCTCATTTGTTGTAATGGCATGAGAAAAAGTAATCGCAGGTGGCAATATTCTAAAAATGCACAAAAACTTAAAAATCTTGAAAACGGTGATATTTTTACTGGGGTCAAAATTGGACGTTAGGGGGACCATGGCGAGGCCTATAGATGGTTACAGGGTTATCCATTGTTTTTGGGACACCCTGTATAAGCAAATAATAATTAATAATCTGCGCTCTTGATTATCGCACACGCATCCAGCTGTTTCATTTGTCGTCTCCCTGCTCAGGAGCCAAAAAAATAAACAAAATGTAACTTTAGATTTATTTATTACGTAATTAATTTTACAAAGCTACATCCGACTTACAGTATCTGTAGTACTACTTTCGATTCGTTTTATCATTCTACATTCCTATCTTAATTGTAAGGAACTTGCTAAATTAACAAAACAAATTCATAGCCAGATAAAAATGTACCTAAGTGTTAAAACAATGCTCGCTGAAAGCTGAAATGCTTATAGCTATTAAGGCTATAATGTAACACTATTCTAATAAATTAAATCTATTTTACAGGCACTCGTTCTCACTATTTTGTGTTATGGCTATCATCAAACTNAAAAAACGGAATTTTGGAGTTGTGCCCATTCATTATTAAGGGTGCGACACGTTATTTATGTCTCCGTCAAAATCTGTCGTGTGTTTTCGGCAGCGTGCACAAGTTTTTGAAGATGTATATTACACACACCCTAATAGCTGGTCCCATACCAAAATAATATTTTGGTCAATTGCATCCTACTTTGCTACCTTTAGCTTTTTCAGAGTCAAAAGATTAAATTAAACAAAATGTAACTTTAGATTTATTTATTACGTAATTAATTTTACAAAGCTACATCCGACTTACAGTATCTGTAGTGCTACTTTCGATTCGTTTTATCATTCTACCTTCCTATCTTAATTGTAAGGAACATGCTAAATTAACAAAACAAATTCATAGCCAGATAAATGTACCTAAGTGTTAAAACAATGCTTGCTGAATTTAAGGCTACAATGTAACACTATTCTAATAAATTAAATCTATTTTACAGGCACTTGTTCTCACTATTTTATGTTATGGCTATTATCAAACTAACGTTGTTATAATTCATTTCAATGTCAAAAACTAAAAGAAATACAGATACGCAACAACTTATGATAATTTTCAGTACAGTCACAAACAGATCTACAAAATACAATATTTTAACAAGAATAACTTGCATTTAACATAATTTAACACACTTCAATGATTGTAAATGTCTAACTAACATTAAATTTTGTGCGGCATTATTTTCGGATACATAATGTCTCAATCATTATTTCTTTGGACAAAGTTAACTTGGAGATAATTATTTTTAATGAACACTAAAAAGTTATCTCTATATTTTATACGATATTGAAAAGATCATATCTGCTAAATACAGACATATCTTTTACAAATGACAATACTTGATGCAAACGCCATGATTATTTCAAGTAAAACTATACAATAAAGAAAATAACATTGAGATAGAAGATTAAACTAACAATCGACTTGCTATTTTAAAATAATAGTGGAAAATAAAAAGAAAAAAAATGTAATACAATTGTTAGTCTGACAACAAAATAATGAAAGAGACGCCGCTACACAAACCGAAACCTATGAATGGCGGTCTCTTTCTTAAGGTCTTTTTAAAATAACTCGCTTTGCCTCGACTGACTTATCTAACCCCCTCTTTTTACCCGACTGCGCCAGAAGGAGGCTTATGTTTTTAACGATATGGCGATAATCGCTAATGCACCGAAATACCGCTGCAAGTGAATGTCCGTGTGTTCTGCTATACAAAAGTATTGCAAAACCTTGTGATGTCTCCATCTTTATACTAATATCCAGTCTAATCCTAAATCTATGCCACAACACTCTGTATACCACTTTTCCTCGACCTGACAGACCTTTTGGGGGTCGCCATCTTATCCTCCATTATATTTTCCGATTCTTGTAGCGCTTTCTTCTTTCTTGACGATCTTCTAGGTGTCTTCTCTTCTGCGTCCTCATTGGACACATCGAGCTGAGCGTTGAGACTCTTCCTCCGACTTCTGGTCATGACTTGGTGGCTGTCTACTGTAGTCGCATCCTGCCTGACCAACCTACCTCTTTTCGTTACAGCCCTGTTTTCCTTTTGTTCTGTTTCCTTTTCAACGTCCATAGAGGACAGTCCGCTGTCTGTGTTCAACTCAGACACACCTAAATCTTCTTTTTTATCTTCTGTCCTGCTCAGGTCGTTGTCTGTCTCAGCCTCGTCGAAGAGGACCACTTTGATGGATTTCTTTCCGGCTTTCTTTTCGGACGCTACGTTGGCGGATTTGAGGATGCTACGCGCTGGCGTCGCGTATAAGTTGACAGGTGACACGGGTGAAGGCTGTAAGTTAAAGATGTATATTAATAAACATTTTATTTCCTTTATTATTCGTTTGTTTATCGCCTGCCAATGAACTCTCTTTTTTGTAAAACGATATTTTGGTCACGACAAAGTATCGTATGTATAGTTTACACATTAAATAAAAATTAAAAATGGTATAAGACTTTAAACTTTCGCGTTCCATTTCAATGAAAATAGTAAGACACGGGCCGTGGCCGTGACACTGACGGCTGCAGCATCGCAGCCGAAACGTCAAGCCGTAAGTACATAATGTAACTCAATAATAAACGTCGCGTTAAGACCCGTGTCTTACTATTAAAAATGCTCCCCGTAAAATTTGTGCTCCTTCACTTATCTTCAAATAAAATATTTAAACATCTTACCGGTAGAGGCGCTATTCCATCTTCCACATTTTTGCTCATTATCGAAGCTCGCAACATCGCAAACGATGCAGTGTTCTGAAATAGTAAAATAAAAAAATACAATTAGCATTACATTTTCTTCTCAATACAACATTTTCGGCCTATCATCAAAATGTAAACTCACATGTAACTGAACAGTTTGTAAGATTTTCACGCTTAAAATGTAAAAACGTTGTTGTGTTTCAGCACTTAGGAGATAAGACAACCCCGTCTCTGTGGTTGAGGATTCCGAGTGCGTTCCACATTCAGCTTACCATCAAGTGAGATGCAATAGTTTTTCTTTTGTGGGTAAAAAACACTTAAAGCCCCCTTACCTTAGAAGCAGAGGCTTTCTTAGCCTCACTAGAGAGCACAGCTTTGAGCAGGCTGTGCTTAGCGGGCGTAGATTGTGCGGGTGACCGCACAGGAGACTTCACGCAGAAGAAACCGGCTTCGAACGTCTTGCTGGGTTCGGCCGGGCTGGCTGGCGCTGCTAAAGTGGTGGTGGCTTCTTCTTGCTCCTTCTTTGCTTTTCTTGCAGCTGAAAAATTTAAGAATATTAGTATTGGAACAAAAATTAATTATGAGGACCTGCCTATTTAGAAGGTTAGGTGGAACATCAAGTTTAAGTTTTGTCATGTCATGATGTTAATGTACCATAGAATAATAATATTACAGAAAATCAGTTATTTATTTAATAAAAACGTAATATCTATTGTTTTTGAGAATTACTTTTAGTCACGCCACAGTTGTGTTGATTTAAAAGTTTTTTTTAAGTACAGCACGTATTATGTATGCCTGCCGTCGTCTATAAATAATAATAAAAATGTGGCCTAATTTAATAAACGTAAAATCCGTAGATGGCGCTAGTTAGAACCCTTCAAGCACCCGCGAGCCGAGACAACAGAAAATAATATTTTTTTTACCGCGGTTGCGACCGCTTAGGATTTGATGGGTGAAAGAACTACAATGAGGGCTATCGTTTTTATACTTAACAGTTGGCACCCCTGGCGATTGACAAGACCTTACTCTACAGTGGCGCCATCTTGATGAGTGCAAATGCGATAGTCCTCCTACCACTTTAGCGCTCACCAGTTGGTGCCACTGTCTTCGCTACTAGCAAGTGACAGGACCTTACTCTACAGTGGCGCTAACTGGTGAGCGCTAAAACGATAGCCCTCATTATGCTTGAATCTCACCAGCAATCATCTCCCTCAGCCTGCTGGGCCCACCGCTGGGCTTGGTGAGCTTCTTGACGTTGTTCTTGGGCGCCGCCTTACGGACCACGGCCACCGGCGCGTCTTCTACCCAGCCGCGCGCTCGCAACTCTTCCAGCTTCTTGAAACGCATGTCTATGTTCTCCACCTGGGTGATAAAATAGCATTTGAGTTCCTTGTAATCATATTATTTATCTACGCGATCTGGACTGGACTGGTCGGTAACTGGTGAAACCAGACGTGGCAAAGAAGAAACCGAAATGGAGACTGCTGGATGCCAAAATTCACTTTAGATCATTGTTGTACAAAGACCTTCCCCAAGGCTTTCTCATAAAGACCGCTACGCTGCCCGTATCCAGTTCCAGGTATTTCCCACGACTTTCGCCTGATATTCGGTCTACCTAGTACTCTTTAACATAACACTGCATAACAAAACGTGTACAGAATTATTCCCACCTCATGGCTCCATAATATTCTATAGAATTTGCTAGCGGCGGCGGCGCAACAAAGCAGAAACGTGTGCTCACGCGCCCCGTCCTCCGTTACCTTTTCCCCGCGCATCGAATACCTGAAAATTCACATCTCCTCTCCGCTCGCTTTCTCTCCTCTCCTTTCCACCATGGTGGAAATAACTTACCAGCTTCGCCGCACGTCTCATCTCCTTTCCACTTTAGTTGAAACCGGGCCTTAAGATTTAAATATTGAGGATGGGACAGTAATAGCTACGTACTTTCAGTTTTGTATCCTTGAACAATAGTTCAGTCTGCACATATTTGATGTACGAGTACTTAAATTTGACTATTCTTACCGTTAGATAATTCCAGGCAATAAGTGGTGACTGAGTTTGTTCCGGCATTTCTTCTCAGCACTTGCCATATGTTTGTCTCGAAGCGCTGGTAGGGCCCAAAAGATAAGGAGACATGTAAAGTGCCCCATAAGGGCTACATTTTCTTTTTTTATTATTTTCTATTGACGTTCATAAGTGCCACTTGTGGTCTAAACTGAATAAGTATTTTTGATTTTGATTTTGATTTTGAATAAAAATAGTTCCTCTGTGGTTGAGAATTCCGGGCGAAGCTCGCTTCCACCTTTGGCTTGATCATCACTTTCCATCAAGTGACATGCAGACCAAGAGCTTCTTCGTTGTGGATAAAAAGGTAGCAAGTCAGGTTCAAGAAGTTATCGCTCCACCTGCATGAACACCATGTCTCAGAAGCCCTGCAGGTCGGCGGGTGTGACGAGCGCTTGGGCCGGCTCGGGGCGCGCACAGCGCTGCGCACAGCGGCCGCCTGGCGTCCTCGGGCTCGTACCTGCATGAACACCATGTCCCAGAAGCCCTGCAGGTCGGCGGGCGTGACGAGCGCTTGGGCCGGCTCGGGGCGCGCACAGCGCTGCGCACAGCGGCCGCCTGGCGTCCTCGGGCTCGCACCTGCATGAACACCATGTCCCAGAAGCCCTGCAGGTCGGCGGGTGTGACGAGCGCTTGGGCCGGCTCGGGGCNGGTGAATACTTGTCATAACAATCACAGAAAAAATTGCATGTATTGCAACCGCAACATATGTTCAATAATTAGCACATATCTGCAGTAATGTTCATTTTACAGACGGCTAACTATTGAAGTAATGCGAGACAATGAAAAAAGAGCACCTAATCGCTGAATGTTGTAATAATTTTTGATGATTCAATTAATATCAAGTTTCATATCTAGAGCAAATGCTTTATTGATGTCACTTGTAATTATTATTTATACTTATTACTTATCTGCTTCATTCTCTAAATCCCGCAAAAACATATTAACGACAAAGCTAAAATCTTTTATAGCTTAATGGGTTAGATCATTTTTAAACTACACACAACATCAACACCTCAAGTTGTACCTACTATAAAGTATAGGAAGGATGCCCTGAGCACAATGTCTTAATAAAGAACAGGGTTTGTTATTAATTTAGTAATTTAATTTACCTACAGTTCGCATTATAATAAAAAGCATATACCTACCTAGTGCTTGCTACATGTACATTTTCCGACTAATTGTTGTGGTTGCAACAGTTTAACGTTTCCCAGTTTCCCAGTAGCACTAAAACATTAAATTGTTTACTTCACATACTGTTACAGTTATGACCACATTAGTATTTCCTTGTTGCAACCAAAATAGAACGTATTGTTTGCAGTTGTTCCTCTAATGAACTGCAACATAGTTGCTAAATTGATTACGCACAGAATTAATCATAATAATATTAGTGTTGTTTGATTCAATTGAGTTCATGTGAATATGTTCTATTGGTGGAAACTTTGTTGTAATAATTGCTATGTTACGAATTGTATTGACTTTAGAATACACAATGTTAGATGTTTGACCACCGGAAAAAACAATTTATTAACAATCTTTATATTTACTTGCAAAACTGTTGACAAAACATGCATTTTGGGGTCATTATGATATTAACAAATATAATTAAGTTTCCTAATTACTTTAGCATTTATTGGTTTATAAGACTTATCATTTGTCACTAAAGGAACATATTAGACTATACTGTATAGTCTATACAGGAAAACTCTTTTTGTATAGGACTCTGAATCAGTTTTTTATACAGAATAGTTTTTCAAAGCATGTTTCTTTGCGTCATTTGGCATTCACCGATGCCAAGATAAATATTGCCATTAGTATTAACAAAGATCCTATGCTTAAATGAGCTATGAACTTGGTTTGGTGTGTTTGTTTTATGGTTTTGTTGAAACATTTAGTTTACGAATAGCATCATATTTTACCATTGAATTCTAAGTACAAAGTAGTACATAATGTTGATTGTTTACTATAATATTTCAATAGCTTTTGATTTATTAAAATTATAGTAACAGTACAGTAGTTATGTTCTTAAACTCATTCTTGAGTACAATTGACTTGATAGTATTGNGGCCCTGGTGAGATGCAATAGTTTTTCTTTTGTGGGTAAAAAACACTTAAAGCCCCCTTACCTTAGAAGCAGAGGCTTTCTTAGCCTCACTAGAGAGCACAGCTTTGAGCAGGCTGTGCTTAGCGGGCGTAGATTGTGCGGGTGACCGCACAGGAGACTTCACGCAGAAGAATCCGGCTTCGAACGTCTTGCTGGGTTCGGCCGGGCTGGCTGGCGCTGCTAAAGTAGTGGCTTCTTCTTGCTCCTTCTTTGCTTTTCTTGCAGCTGAAGAATTTAAGAATATTTAGTATTGGAACCAAAATTTATTATGAGAAGGTTAGGTGAAACATCAAGTTTAAGTTTTGTCATGTCATGATGTAATGTACCATAGAATAATAATATTACAGAAAATCAGTTATTTATTTAATAAGAACGTAACATCTATTGTTTTTGAGAAATACTTTTAGTCACGCCACATTTGCGTTTATTTAAAAATTTTAAAAACACACAAGATATTTTTTTAAGTACAGCACCTATTATGTATGCCTGCCGTCGTCTAAAAAAAATAATAAAAATGTGGCCCAATTTAATAAACGTAAAATCCGTAGAAGGCGCTAGTTAGAACCCTTCAAGTACCCGCGAGTCGAGACAACAGAAAACACTATTTTTTTACCGCGGTTACGACCGCTTAGGGTTTGATGGGTAAATGACGCTACAATTATGCTTGAAACGGGGCCTCGACTGTTGGGCATCCCCTCTCCGCTCTTGAATCTATTAAAGTTTTAATAATTAGTTTATGTTTGGCGGACGCGGTTTGGGTCCCAACAACCGAGGCCTAGGGAAGGGTACTCGCTGAAAATCAGCGTCGGGACCTTTAACACTTATGTCCCGAGTATCGCTGAGCGGGCGCCTTTTTGGCTCGGGATTTTTACTGGTCTGGCTGGATTATTTTACTGTTTTTTTTTTCTTCTTTATGTACCTTTTTACACTTGTATTTGACACTAGCTTTCCGCCCGCGGCTTCGCCCGCGCGGAATTTTGTCTGTCACAGAAAAACTTTATCGCGCGCGTCCCTGTTTCAAAAACCGGGGTAAAAACTATCCTATGTTCTTTCCCGGGACTCAAACTATCTCTATGCCAAATTTCATCAAAATCGGTTGCGAGGTTTAAGCGGGAAAGCGTAACAGACAGACAGACAGACAGACAGACAGACACAGACAGACAGACAGACAGACAGAGTTACTTTCGCATTTATAATATTAGTTGGGATTTTTTGTCCCGTGCCAAATAAAGATTTATTATTATTGAAACTTACCAGCAATCATCTCCCTCAGCCTGCTGGGCCCACCACTGGGCTTGGCGGGCTTCTTGACGTTGTTCTTGGGCGCGGCCTTACGGACGATGACCACCGGCGCGTCTTCCACCCATCCGCGCGCTCGCAACTCTTCCAGCTTCTTGAATCGCATGTCTATGTTCTCCACCTGGGTGATGTAGAAATAGCATTTGAGTTTTTGTCGTAAGCTACTATTTCCACCTCTCGTTCCGCTGCAACTCCTGTGTAGCCAGGATCTACAGCTTGACCGTCAAAAAAGTTGAAAGTCAAGTTTTTTCTCAGGGAAAAGTTAAACTGTCATTGGACCCGCAACGAAATTAATCAGAACAAATGAAGAATGGGAAGTTGAGGTTTGACTTCCCTCCTGTGCAAATTATCTATTCTTGAACATCGTTCGTTCGTTTCAGCCAAATGACGTCCACTGCTGGACGAAGGCCTCTGCCAAGGTTACTAACAACCACCACTCTTGCACTGCTCGCATTCAGGTACTGTCGGTCCCATAACCTTCACCAGATATTCGGTGCACCTAGTACTCTTGATCATTTCATTCCGTCTCATTTTTTCTAAAGAATTTGCGTCGCTAGCCTCGACGGCGCAACAGAGCGGAAACGTGCTCGCGCGCCCCGTCGTCCGTTACCTTTTCCCCGCACGTTGCACATGTGGAAGTTCACATCTCCTTTCCGCTATGGTGGAAATATAACTTGCCAGCTTCACCGCACGTTTCATCTCCTTTCCACTTTAGTTGAAACCGGGCCTTAAGATTTAAATATTGAGGATAGGACAGTAATAGCTACGCACTTTCAGTTTTGTATCCTTGAACAATAGTTCAGTCTGCACATATTTGATGTACAGTCACGGAATGAAAAGGTTAGTCAGTTTTCAAATTGATTCCTTCAACGAATCGCGAGCACATATTACCTTTTGAAACTATGTTACAGAATAATCTCGAGTTAGAGAAAATAATCTTTAACTGTTCGTCAGTAAAGTTCAAAATTATTCAGATCAAAGTTGTTTGACGATTTATCTTGTCAATAAGATTATTATGATTGATAAACTAAAACCTTCTTTTGGTTCAACCTGCCATTATTATTTCTATTAAATAAAAAAACCTATTGTCAATTGGTCAATGTCATCATTGCATTGCACTGATGGGATAGAAAAATAAACAAGCAAAACCTTATTCGTTAGCAAACGTCATATTATTTATTTAAATGTTAGCAGCACTGTTTCTTGCACTGTTATGTTGGCAGGTTTGACTCTTACAGTACCTAGTGCAAGCGAAAACCGACACTAAGGTGACGAACCTTTTCATTCCGCGGATGTACTTAAATTTGACTATTCTTACCGTTAGATAATTCCTGGCAATAAGTGGTAAACTCAGTCAGTTTGTTCCGGCGTTTCTTCTCAGCACTTGCCATATGTTTGTCTCGAAGCGCTGGTAGGGCCCAAAAGATAAGGAGACATGTAAAGTGCCCCATAAGGGCTACCTTTTCTTTTTTTATTATTTTCTATTGACGTTCATAAGTGCCACTTGTGGTCTAAACTGAATAAATATTTTTGATTTTGATTTTGAATAAAAATAGTTCCTCTGTAGTTGAGAATTCCGGGCGAAGCTCGCTTCCACCTTTGGCTTGATCATCACATTCCATCAAGTTAAACCAAGTTAAACCATGTTAAAATGTATGAACTGTATTATGTATGTGACTTTGTTGGTGTACCTAATAAATAAATAAAGTAAGATGCAGACCAAGAGCTTCTTCGTTATGGATAAAAAGGTAGAAAATCAGGTTTAAGAAGTTATCGCTCCACCTGCATGAACACCATGTCCCAGAAGCCCTGCAGGTCGGCGGGCGTGACGAGCGCTTGGGCCGGCTCGGGGCGCGCACAGCGCTCCACCAGCGACGCGAACTGCTGCAGCTTCTGCGACATCAGCAGCCGCGCCTGCCCCACCGCGCCTAACACCAGCTCCTGGAGAGAATAACATCAGGTTTAAGTCTGCACTAAAGAAGCACGATCCTCTCTTAAACTCTTCGTCATCACTAAAGTCCAATGGCCTAGCAAATAGAATTTCGTACAAAGCGCCCGCAACCGCCGCGGGCGCGGTTGAAAATCGCACCATGAGTTCTTAGCCTCACGTGTAATTATATTGCTGTCGCAACTGTGCGACGGGCGGCCGCAGTGAGTATACGAGCGACAAGGATGGGTAGCTTGAGGTCTGAGGTCATTGTACGAAATTCTGCTCGGCGACCGGACTTTAGGTCCATCATTTTCGATACTGAACCGCATGCGGGCACCCGCGCAAATTTTAGCGGCTCTAAAGGTGGTTCGCTCCACAGCCGAGACGGAAGACCGAGACTTATTCGACTTTAGGCAATGTATAACCAACGGCAGAGACAGAAAATAGAGACCTAAGTCAACAATCGCGGTCTCCTATCGCGGTCACTTGTCTCTGTCACGACGCGAACCGCCATCTTTAGGTACACAAGAATCTGGCAAATATATACAGCAGTTTGTCAAATAAGAACAAAATAAATAGCTTCATAACTTTAAATTCAAATCATAAGTTTAAAATAATAACACAAAATAATTAAATAATTAAAATCTACAATCCTTACCTGTATAGTCTCTGAAAGAGGTGTCTGCTCTTGTATCTTGTCCCACACCTCACACATCTCCGTCATGCGTTTGATTTCAGACTGGAGCTGACGCCTGAAGTGGTTGATGCTCTCCATGTCACTTGTGTCATCGTCCAACAATCCTAAGAAAACAAAATTTTGCATTTAATGTACAGCTCTGTCCTTTCGATGTTTGTTATCCCAATAAGTGTAGATCAATTCTGCTATTGCGTACCCAAAGAAAAATCACTGAAATAAAATCTGGCAGTTACTGATTTCCTTTAAATACCTTAATAGAAGATAATTACAATAATAGAAGATAACTAAATAGTGCAGGAAAACTTATGTCAAAACGTACCTTCTTCCATCTTCTTTTTCATTTCTCTTCTAGCATTATCCTTCCCTCTGGACATGGTGACGCAAGGACTGATCTTCTTAGACTCCTCATCTATTTGTTCCGGAGTCATCGGCACTACCACAACATCTATTGGCGATTTAGGAGACCTAAGTTTCTCTTCTGAGCTAGATTCACTCTTGGGCACAGGTTTTATGGGTGTGAATTGCTTTGATTTATTTAAAGACTTTCTAGGTGTCTTAACTTGGAAAACTGGTGACTTTTCTGTAGAGGATGCCGTATCAACTTCACTACTCGAACTTGTACTCTGAAGGGAATTTGATGCTTTCTTAGGGCTTTGCTTTTTAGCAAGTCTAGTATTTTTGTTGTTAGCAGCATTACTGCGAGTATTTCGTGTTTCAGATGTTTTAGTATTTGCTTGTCTTGAATTCACTTGTGTTCTTGATCTCGTTGATTTAGTTTGTTTTTCAGGATTTTTCAATGAATTTGGTAATACTGGATTAAATGTGTAATTAATTTCGTCTGTCTTTGTTTTGGTCACAGGAGCTAATTTTGGTACTTTAATCAGATTTTTTGGTGGCTGAAATGAAGCATTTATGGGGGCAAATGACTGAGCCCTGTTCTGTTTGGTGTTAGCTTTTTGTGTTGCACTTTGCTTGGCAGATTGTGATCTCGTAACCCTCCCAGAAGTACTCGGCATTGGTTTTGGTGGTGGTGGAGGCGGTACAAACTTTAAGGGAGCGTGCGGTACTCCTGCTACAAATGGCTTTTTCTTTAGAGCAGCGGCCTGCTTTTTTTGCTTTTCCTTTTCTTCCTTCCATTTTTCTAGCTGCTGTCTCCGATGCTCAACCTTGGATTTGGCAGTGTCCACTGGTCCTACTGGTGTAGGGCTTTCACATCGTGATAAGTTCCTTATTCTGTCAAACACAGTCAAACGACTGCTTTTTCTGTGTTTCAAGTTGTCTCCCAAGCGCTTCTGGACCTGCAATTCATTGTCACACTGTTATTTTCAATAGTATTTATGTTTCTAAACCCCAAGCAACGAAAAGGGAGTCGTTACATGAATAAGACCTACCGCATGCATGGTTAATATCAAAGGAGACTACAAAATAATTAAATCTGAACAGTGGAAAGTACCCCGCCTGCCACGCTAGTAAACTGCGCAGGTTTGTTTTTGTGTTTCTTCTCGTGGTTCTTCAGAAGCCGTCCGAAGTCGAAGCTCTTCTCTGAAAAACATGAAAACACTGACGCTGGAGCACAAAATATTGATGAAGTCGAGCCAAAGCGATGGGAGTTCAAACTTGAAGGCATTAACTTAGACCGATAAATGAGTCTTTAGTACTTAGTTTTTACACCATAGTTAAATCTCTTCTTACCCATTACACCTGAAAATAAAAACACTAAAATATATTACAACAAATTGAACAACAAACTGAATTTTTGAATACAAACTGACAGAAATGCCATCCATAGCGAATCACGTCATGCCATAAACAAAATCGTTTGGATACACAAAAGCACCCTACAACCGCTCGAGAGCTACATTTGAGCTACTTCACATGTTAGTATAATCTGTGAGTTAGTCTATGAAAAAAATCAATGTAGTGACGTTTTCCAATGGCAACACAATCTCGTACTTCCGGTTGTCAGCTGATAAACTCCCATTGCTTTCCAAAACCTATTTCGATTTTCGCTAAAGAAAACGTCAGGCACCATTCAACATGGGCTTGAAATACGCGATCAAAAGCTAGTTGTAGCTGAAATATTGCTCTAATTGTAGTGTTATTGTTATTATAGTTTCCTTTTACATGTACGTTGTGTAACTTTATTAGTTGAAAATGGATACGTTTATCGTAGGAAACCTCGGTTATGGCGTTTGTTGATCATTAAAAAATTTGGTTCGGTTCATAGTTTTCTTTGTAATCGATGTCAGCTTTTGGTTTGTGATCGTCTGTTTCGTTCGTGTTTACGTGTATAGTTAAGATGGTGAAGGAGAAGCCTAATTCTATTCGGATTTACGACGACGAGGGGTTCAGACGCCGCGCGGCATGTATATGTGTACGATCGGACGCCGAATCTGAGGTTAGTAGCTGGGGCTGGAAGAACATGGAAGACGTTCGAGTCGCGGCGAGTTCGTGATGTGTGGTTTGTGCGTAGGTGTTGCTGGTGACGTCGTCGCGGCGGCCCGACAACTGGATCGTGCCGGGCGGCGGCGTGGAGCCCGAGGAGGAGCCCTCGGTGACGGCCATGCGCGAGGTTCTGGAGGAGGCCGGGGTCATCGGCAAGCTGGGACGGTGTCTCGGAGTTTTTGAGGTGAATATTTGTCATAACAATCACAGAAAAAATTGCATGTATTGCAACTGCAACATATGTTCAATAATTAGCACATATCTGCAGTAATGTTTATTTTACAGACGGCTAACTATTGAAGTAATGCAAGACAATGAAAAAAGAGCACCTAATCGCTGAATGTTGTAATAATTTTTGATGATTCAATTAATATCAAGTTTCATATCTAGAGCAAATGCTTTATTGATGTCACTTCTAATTATTATTAAACTTATTACTTATGTGCTTCATTCTCTAAATCCCACAAAAATTTATTAAAGACAAAGCTAAAATCTTTTATAGCTTAATGGGTTAGATCATTTTATAACTATTTATACACAATATCAACATCTCATGTTGTACCTACTATAATGTATAGGAAAGATGCCCTGAGAACAATGTCTTAACAAAGAACAGTGTTCGATATTAATTTAGTAATTTAATTTACCTACAGTTCGCATTATAATAAAAAGCATATACCTACCTAGTGCTTGCTACATGTACATTTTCCGACTAATTGTTGTGGTTGCAGCAGTTTAACGTTTCCCAGTTTCCCAGTAGCTATAACATTAAAATGTTTACTTCATATACTGTTACAGTTATGACCACATTAGTATTTCCTTGTTGCAACCAAAATAGAACGTATTGTTTGCAGTTGTTCCTCTAATGAACTGCAACATAGTTGCTAAATTGATTACATACGGAATTAATCATAATAATATTAGTGTTGTTTGATTCAATTGAGTTCATGTGAATATGTTCTATTGGTGGAAACTTTGTTGTAATAATTGCTATATTACGAATTGTATTGACTTTAGAATACACAATATTAGATGTTTGACCACTGGAAAAAACAATTTATTAACAATCTTTATATTTTATTTACTCTCAAAACTGTTGACATAACATGCATTTTGGGGTCATTATGATATTAACAAATATAATTAAGTTTCCTAATTACTTTAGCATTTATTGATTTATAAGACTTATCATTTGTCACTAAAGGAAGATATTAGACTATACAGGAAAACTCTTTTTGTATAAGACTCTGAATCAGTTTTTTATACAGAATAGTTTTTCAAAGCAAGTTTCTTTGCGTCATTTGGCATTCACTGATGCCAAGATAAATATTACCATTAGTATCAACAAAGATCCTATGCTTTCATGAGCTATGAACTTGGTTTAATGTGTTTGTTTTATGGTTTTGTTGAAACATTTAGTTTACGAATAGCATAATATTTTACCATTTGATTTTAAGTACAAAGTAGTACATAATGTTGATTTATGTTTACTATGATATTTCAATAGCTTTTGATTTATTAAAATTATAGTAACAGTACAGTAGTTATGTTCTTAAACTCATTCTTGAGTACAATTGACTTGATAGTATAATCACAGAATAATAAGTAATAAGTATAATCTTAATTAAGTAGTTGAATATGTTGACAATTTAATTAATGTTTCTGCTGACCTAGAAACGAGAAATTTGATAAGAAACAAATTAAGAAATTGCTACCTACCTACCTGTAATAATTAATGTTTTAAATTGTTAAACTTTTTCCATTACAATACATTACATTTTGCAGTTATGCAAACACATAAGGTGTGATTGCAGTCAAATACCTGCTTTATTTTTTCATAAAAAAAAAGTCTGACAATTTGTACCACTCAGTTGTGATTGTGGTCCAATGGCATGATGGAGTGTGTTTTCCCAAATTAAATTAATGTCGGTCTAAGAATTTTCTTTTAATCAAGCCTTATCTGAATTCCAGAACCGCGAGCACAAACACAGGACAGAGGTGTACGTGATGACGGTGACGCAGGAATTGGCCGAGTGGGAGGACTCGCGGCTCATGGGCCGCAAGCGCCAGTGGTTCACCGTGGACGACGCGCTGGCCCAGCTTGCCCTGCACAAGCCCATCCAGCGCCACTACCTACAGCAGCTTCGCCGCTCCCGACAGAAGCCCGACGACCCAGGCAGCTAGACGCCGCGCCCGGGGCCGGACNGGCCGGAGGACCGCCGGTTCAGGTCTTCAGAAACGAATCTGGGACGACACGGCGTTCTGTTGATCCGACCTTTCCAAACCACGAAACGAATAAGGATAAATGAAATATTTTGAAATCGAAACAAGCCCGGGACGCTCGACAGCCGGCCCCGGCCCCTCCTCCGCAGGATCTATCTGCCTTCGCTGACGCGTACCGTAACATCTCTTTTTTTCTACTTTTACGTATATTTTTATACTACGATGGAATAAATGTTAATTTTATTTTGTTAGCATTAAAACGAAAAGACATACGAGCTATATTTTTTATTTAATGATTAACGTTTATTAAGATTCCTGAATGAGTTTTAAAATAAATTTTATATTGCTCTTCTGTAAAGGGTTTTTGTTTGATGGACGGTGGAGATATCCTTGAATATAAAATGAAGTATTTAGAATTTTAGACTATAGATGAACCACAGATATGGATAGATGCAGCATGTGTCAAAAATTGTATGAAGCCGAGCGTGCCACTTTTTAAACGTCATTAGTGTCATTTTAGCGAATTTTAGTGATTGCCGCAACGTAAAAGTAATCGTATCATCGTACTGCATTCGCAAAGTCATCGAATGATATCGTGTGACTCGATTCAAAAATTAATTAATTCCGATAAAACTGATATTTTGTTAAATTTATAGCTAGTCTGACTGTGGATTAAAATAATTTTGTAGCGGTAGACGTTATTCTACAATTTGCAAATAATATTTTTGCTGTGCCTAATGTTTATGAAAGTAATGATCGTTATTCCATTATGTTAAATAGTACTACTAGTAATTCATACTTAATTCCATACTTTTAAATATCCTAGTAAGTAAATGACCTAGTTTCATAAAATAAAGACTATTTTACTCAAGCTTTTTATTTTTAATAAATGTAAAAATGCGTAGTTTTGCCAATACGTTTTCTTTTATAAAGCTAAGTCAGATACCTAGTTTTGAAGATATTTCTAAACGACAAAATCTCGGGCGTCGTATACATAGACTAGTAATAGTGTATACTGCAATCACTGACCTAACTTCTTGATTTGTATATTTCGACGTTATACAGTGCACTCTGTCTTCCGCGATCACTGATCTAACTTGTTTTATAATTCTTCTACTGCTACTTTATTCTAATTAATTACATATTTGTTACTCGTTGCTGTTAATTACAATTCTCAAATTTCTCAATCCGTAAATAATTTCTTCTCTTTACCGTGTTCGTACTACTGTTCTCGTAAAATCATCGTATCCGATTGTTGTAATCGGATTGCATGAACATCACTCGACCATGTATGTCCATTTGGACATATCGGAATGGCACGCTTTGACTAGCAACTTGCTGTATCTACTCTAATCCATATCTGTGAGATGGAGTTTGATGGAAGTGACATTTTTGGACGCAATTTCTTAGAAAAATATGGCACGTATAAATAGAAACTAAAGTTGACCACAATATACAAAAAAGTTTTAAAAGCCAAAGAAAACTAAAATCTATCGACAGTTTATAAATTAAAACCAGCAAGTTTATTCATAACATAAAAAAAAAAAAAACTTATATTCTACTAATAGTAGCGAGAAACACCCACACACTGAGAACGTTGTTAGGGTACGCGTACACTTCGACGGCGAGCGCGAATTCGGCGTCGGGCGCCGCGCTCGCGTGCAGCGCGCTCGCTTTCACCGCCGCCGCCACAGAAGATGCGCGAGCGAACGCCATGTTCAGGGGAAAGCCGAACACCTGCAATATTTGATACAGTCTCTTTTGAACTTCATATTATTATCATTTTTGGGGACACAGTACCATATGGGTGAATAAAGCCTTGATGACACGTACCGACCGAGTAAACGCGGGCGAGACAGTAAAATGTTTACTCGGTCGAGACAGTTGGGTGAGCGAGTCACATACTCGAGCGCTCCGCCGAGCACTCGGCGTAATGTTCATACCACCGAGTACTCGGGCGAGACAGTGCTCTCGGTTTGAAAGTTTACTCGGTACGTGTGATCAAGGCTTATAGATTGACATTTAATTTGGTGCCACTTTTAAGATAATTATATCAATTCAAGAATGCAACAACAGTTAATTAAGTGAAGAATTCCATGTCTTGGTTCGGTATTTGCAAGGGTATAGCACCTGTGTACTGCCTGAACAGTGTTTTAGTACATTCTTATTTTTTATATCTCACCCTGTATGTAACCATCAGTTGTTTTAGCCGCTGACTGAATCCCGGCTTAGTTTCCGAAGGATTGAAAGTCCAATACTCCCAATGAGGCAGCATCTCGCGAAGTAAACCACTGCAGTATCTGAAGTATAGACAATAAGCATAAGCAGACTTTCTTGATTGACTAATACAATATTTTCCATTGTTATTACATATTGCTGTTTTGTAAAGCCTGGTCCGTGAGCACGTAGAATCCCGTCCAATGACCCCAAGCTGCCCATCCTTGTCGCTCGCACGTAATTATGTTGCTGTCGCGCTCGCACACTCACTGCGGGCGCGCGTCGCACAGTCGCAACAGCAATATAATTACGCGCGAGCGATAAGGATGGGTAGCTTGGGTTCATTGGACGGGATTCTACGTGCTCACGGACCAGGCTTTACCTGTTCCAAATAGTCTTCAATTGTGGGCGCCACTTCTGCACCTTGGCCTTGATCTTAGTTTCCAATGACTCTCTGAGTGCGGTCACATCAGCAGGAACACTGTACAGGCTTGGGTCGTTTGCCAGAGGCTGCTTCATCACGAATATGGTCCGGTTGAATACCTAGGAACAAGGTTTTATTTAAAAAAACAACTGCAAAATGTACTCTAGATCTTATTTATTGGTTCCAACTTACTGGCAACCAATTTGACGTTTTCGTGAAGTCAAACGAGACTCCTGCGCAATCTTGTGTTGATTGCACGTTCAGCCATATCTGAAACATATTTTTTATGTAAAATACTGATACTTTCTCTCCAAAAATGGCATCTAATTTATGTAATCCTTACATTTTCATTATCGAACACGTAATCCACAGTCTTCAAGGGGCAACTAACATCCCTCAGCTCATACCTCTCCCCTGTCGTAGCATCATACACATTCCACAAAAACCCATCCCCTTTATTCAGGAAGCCGCCCCTTTTGAACAACTGGTCGGTGACCAACACATTTCTGCGGGTGGTTAGGTCATATTGCGTGAGGACGTAGCTGCTCTGGCCTCTTGGCAAACCTTGGCCGATGACCACCCAGCATTTGATTCCGAGATAGAGGAAATAGCTAGCGAGTAGGATTGTGTGGTCCAATGGAGAACCGATCAAGACTTTGAGAAGTTCCTGTAAAAGAAAGTCTTATTATTGTTAAAGCCACTCAGTTGCTTACTTTAGGCACAGAATAATAGTTTGCAAATTTTCGATAAGTTAAAGATTGCTTACCACACCCATCAAGGTCACTACGTGAGATTCCGTTTCCTCGTACAAAGGAATTAGCGAAACATACCGCAAACTGGCGTTCATCATCTTAGCCATTTGACTATCTCCCTTCCAACTCCCATCATGGCCACTGTACAGCGATTCCTCCCTTCCAGGACTCTTCTCTGGATCATCTCTCTTTCTTCCACCACTACTTTTAGACGAGGAACTCTTTGAGAACCCAGAACTCTTCGATAAAGCTGACTCTTCTCTCAAACTTTTAGGGTGTTTAGGAAAATACTCTAAACTTGGCAAAGTTATAGGCTGCAGAAACTGCGTCACGCATCTATTCCTTCCAGAACTGTCTATGAAGGTTAGTTTTATGTTCCTTGTCGGAAAATCATTTATGTATTCCGTGACTGTTGTGTTCAAATGTTTGATCAAACTGTCGTCGTCAGCAGAGCTAGGTATAGGCTGGTTGTAGCCCTGCAGTCCGCCCAAGTGAGAGAGGCTAGTGGATATTTGGAGGGAGATAAAGGAAGTTTCCTTCCGAAGCAGCTGAGTTACTTCTGGGATCAGAGATTGAGAGCTGTCTTTGTTTTGTAAGACTTCGTATCCGAATAGTAACGGAGGTGTGGATATTTTGAATGTGCCGCGTAACTGGAATGTTGATCGATGAATTTAATTACTTTATTACTATTGTCTGAGTATACCACTAATTTTCACTTACCACTCCTAAAGTTAATACTGCATGCATCGGCACCTGCACTGTCCCCAGCCATCGATTGCTGTACCGATACTGAACCGTCTTGCCGTGTGACGTATTATCGTCATCGGAATTACCTTCATTCATATTAGCTTTGTATTCGTCGAATATGTTTATGTAAAGAGATGAGAGTGGCTGGAGTCTGAAATACGAATAAATTTTACACAACATTTTGATGTAATGACGTTAAAGAGACTTTATTTAGGCAAGTGTCCTACAAGGACCATTACTGGGGCCTAACTAAATTATCTATGCATTAGAAATGTTATTGAATTCTAAAAAGTACTTGCTTAGTTTTTATCTTCACAGTCTGGTTCCAGGTTGGATGACAGCCGATAGCAGTGGCTGTGTTAACCGACGCACCGTGGTAACTAAGCCGGACGAACGGTCTCAAAGGCCGTACTTTGAACCCTAAAGATAAAAACTTCTTGTGAGTCTCTTTTAACTACTAAATATTTTTATACATGAAAAACAGTTAAAATCTTACCTGCGATTGTACAATTATCGTCTTCGTTCTCTTCTGACAAAATTACGGAACTACGGTCCATGAGATTAAAGGCTCTTAGAACTGTTAAATGAATCTCCTGATCCTGCCCTATGGATACGTTTAGATATTGCTGCTTTGTACTTCTGGGTAAAGCCGCTATAGTCCCTATGCTGGATTGACTTGAAAAGAAACTTCTGGAAAACATAATTGTAGAATAACCTTTTAGCCAATAATCCTATTTAAACAATTAAATCTTACTAACCTCAATGATAACTCCCTGTAATCTCTTACAACATCTTTTTGTGTTTTCTTCATGAGATGCTCATGCAAGTTCTTCAACATATTTTCATTTAGTTTTTCAACGTATTTGTTCCCAATGAACCTTTGAAGCTCAATCGGGTCCATTTGCGCATATTTATCGGTAATGTATTCCACATCTATGTCCTTGTCGTTACTCTTCTGTAAGCAGTTGAGTAGTTCTGTAGAAATCTGACTTGCGTGAAGAGGAACCAGTTTGTTTTGAACGTTTGTAAACTCACCGATATTTCTCAAGTGTAATAACTTAAGTCTTATGAATTCAGGGTCGTTTTCATCAACGGCAAACTTATCGTCAGTCTTTATTTTCGATTTACAAAGATTTTGAAGCACTGTTGTGACTTTATCATTGTTCCCGATATCTTTTCCGTATATTTTACCAATTATATCTCGAAGTGAATCAACGTTCGGTTGATCGATGCCTTGTATTAATCTTTTCAATTTTCTGCCAATATCCATAGATTCTTTAAATATTTCACTCTGATTTTGACTTAGTTTCTCATTCCAGCCCATTTTCATACCGACTTTACAAGTTGTTTGCAAATTGCCTTCAAATTGGTTACTACTTTTAAGTCTCATTTTGCTACCTTTTATTATTTCTTTTATGTTGTGGCCACTCCCAACATATTTCTGGTTCGGTTGGATTACCATATTCTTGTAAACAAATAGTTGATCAATGTACTCCGCAGTTGCAGTATTTTGTTTTATTTCATACAAAAAGATATTTATAGTAGAAACCTCTTCATTATTCTCGGATAAAACTATGGTCAAGACTTCATTCTTAGGAAGGATTTGTACAGAAAATGACTCCGTGAATTGGACCTCAAACAAGGAATCTTTTACTAATGTGTAAGTTTCTGATTGACAAACAAACACCTCATCTACGTAAATAGTGAAATTGTAATTGAATTTTGATGTATCTTTTCCAGCTCCATCAGATAAAATACTGGTATCTTTCTTCAAGATCATATCAATTTTATCACGAGTAACCGTAATACCAACTATCTCTTCCACTATAGCTTTCATTTCTTCTTCATCGACTTTTAATTTTGGTTTCTTTTTTCTTTCCGAACTATCGTCATTTTCGTCAAGTTTTGACTCTTTGTATTCCATATATTTAGTAACGTATTCATATTCTATTTTATCTAGCATGTCGTTGAACTCTTCATTATACGCATCTGTCCATTCTTCTTCAAATTTTGTTTCATCCAGGTCTTTATTTACTATTTCTAATAAATACGGTGTTTCTACGTGACCCGTTTTATCACGGATCATTTCGATATCAGACCAAAGTGATATAGACCTGTGTATAATTTTCTTCTGTCTTCTGATGGTTTCTCGATATTCTTCTTTTAATTTTAGAATATTACTTGTATATTTTCTCAAAGTTTTATCAAATCTGATATCTTCCTTTTTATTTGGACTGATTTTTATAAAATCTTGTTTAAGTGTATCCCTAGTTTCTCTGTTAACTCTTATATCTTTATTAAGTTCTTTTAATTTTATTTGTGACATACTGTATTCATCATAACACTCGACGAGTTTTGCGCAAAGCATAGTTTCTAGGGGGAATAAGTGATGATGAATGAAAATAATATCTTTTATGGTAATATCTAAGAATGTATCACTCTGTTCATCGTCAGTATTCTGTCCTGATGCAAGGTCTTGGAACTGAACTGGGTCAACGTATTGAACTGGTATTGAGTGTTCTTCAGTAATTGCATATTCGAGCACCCTCGGGAATATTGGACTGAGGTGAGTAGTTTTTTGTTGATGGCTCCATCTGTATTAATTATCGGTATGTTGGTAAGTAAGTTTATGATATTACTTACAATAATGCATATTATTATAATAATTTATTTAGCCGAAACACATTCAAGAAACGCTCTCGACAGTGGCGTTCAAAGGGTAAAAAAAATTATGGCTTGAAGTGAAGGTGTAGTTAAGAGTTTTTCTATTGAAACCTTGGTAAGTAAAATAAACGTTATTATATTCTTATTATTAGGTAGGTAGGTAAATTTTCATAAAAATCTTAAATAGAATCATGCTATAAGTCATTTATTCAATACTTTTTTTCTACTTACCCATACTCGGAATCTAAACGTAATGGTCTCGATTTGCGAAATAAACTTTGTGTGCTTGGAGTTCGGACCAAATAGCTGTAGTTTCGTTCTTTTTCTTCGACGTCTACCATCGTAATAATATTTTCAGATACAGGCACAGCAACTGACGCCAGCTCTGTATTAATAATATCGATTAAGTTTGGCTCCTTTTCCCTTTTGTGTTTGGCCTTTTTCTTCTTCTTTTGATCCACTTTATGTGAGGACTTCGACTCGTATTTAGTAAAGAAGTCATATTCGTTTACCGGACTGTAGTTTTCCTGAGAAAGTACAGTCTCTTGAAGATTTTCTTGGTTTATCTCGTGATATTCTTCAATGTCACTATCGTTCCCTGTTTTCGAAAACGATTGTAATTCTATATTCTCGCCCATATTTTAAAAATAAACCATCTAAGTATTTGTATCCCAGTCGGCGTGGAAGCCAAATCCAATGTTTTGGTGGTGTCCCGCCAAAAGTTGTCATGGCAATCGTCAAAATGTCGGATGCGTTCGATTACGCTACAACTTAATTTACTTTGCTAATGATGCATAGTGCATACCATAATATTTGTTATTATTTGAAATTATTTATAAATATTGTACAAATAATTAAATAAATTAATTTAAAAAAATCGAAATCGATAATATTTATCGATCGAATTTGTCTTTGGTTATTATCTGACAGTCAATGCTGCCACCACAGCAAACTATTTCTTTATTTTTGACATTTGCTGTCAAAACAAATTAATTGATGAATGGATTTTGTGTTAAAAATTGTTATTTCTCATTTTAAACATAAAAATGTTTTGCTTAAAAGATAGTGAAGAGTATTATTTATGTCTCTCCGATCAGCCAAAAAGATTTGATGCAGATAGCCCCGTTACTAATGTGTTTTTCGATGATACTAATGGCCAGGTAAACAGTCAATATTTATTTGGATACAAAACCTTGTTTCCAATTAATATGTCGCTTAATTAAGTGACAAAGTGTATCTTCCCACCACAAAGTAGCATAATTTAACATTAAATTAAAAACACAATGAAGTTTTCATTATAAAAACTGTGATTAAAATAAACTCAATATTTTCCTCCAAAGGTATTTACAGTTCGATCGGGGGGCGTCACAGGAGTTACCGTAAATGGGATGGACGATTCTAAGTCTACATCATTCAGAATGGAAGATAGAGGCCCGATAATTTCGATAAAATTTTCACCAGACCACAAAATATTGGCAATACAACGTAACAATGAGATCCAGAATGCTACAATAGAATTTGTCAACTTTAAAGACCTGGCTCCAACGAACGTGGAATACTCGCACACTTGTAAATGGAAGAATGCTAAGATCCTCGGTTTTGTGTGGCCGAAAGCAAATGAAATAGCGTTTGTAACTGATCATGGTATAGAGTTGCTACATGTTGTTCCTGAGAAAAAACTGCTCAAAAGTTTAAAATCTATATCTTTCAGGTAATTTTTTTGACTTTACAATGTATTATTGTCATTTATTAATTGTAAATTTAACCCTGAAATTGTAAACAAATAAAAAAATATTGTCATTAACAATGAGGGTTTTCGTGATTGAAAAATCCGTCAGATGGCAATACGTAGTCGTGAGGTCCAAATGCTGCATGATTGGTGGATTTTGACATACCTGTCAATGTCATGTCAAAAATTACCAATCATGCAACATTTGGACCTTGTGTCTACGTATTGCCATCTGGCGGATTTTTAAATCGCGAAAACCTTCATTAGACAATTTTTTTCAAATGTATGTTCAATAAACAAAAAGCAATGTTATTATTTTTCAGTGGCGCATGGTTCTCGTGGTGCGCTCCCAGCAACACAGTGTTGCTGGCCGGCAACAACGGAGCCCTGCTGCAGCCGTTCTCACTAAATAACTCCACTATAACCAAGCTGCAGAAACTTGAGCGTGAGTACTGTCTTATTTTAAGTTTAGCACAATTACTTGGTATTCAATATTATTGTTTCTGTAATTTTGAATATTATAGACCAACTGAAGACAAAAGAATAAGTACATAGAGAATGTATTATGTAAAGAAAGCATTTTATAAAAGTGATGCTGAAAATACTTTTTTGTACAGCAAGAATTATAAAGCATTAAAAATACACGATTTTGTTTACAATTTTGCAGAAAGTTCTGATTTATCAAACTATGTAGTACTCACCTATTTCACTTTCAATTTATGAGAGCTACAATATTAAGGTCCCTACCCACTACACTGTCTCACACCATGACCGTGCTAGGAACGTGTCAGGCAAATAAGTATTATTTGTATTGATAAGTATGACCCAGTAGACTATTCCGTCACCGATCAACACCGTCGCGTGCCATGCACGGAGCGCCAACAAATGTTGCACAAAACGCCGTCGATCCGTTCAGTGGGCATAGTAGAGCCTATCGTGTTGCTTTTTGTGCCTGACACGTTCCTAGCACGGTCATGGTATGATACGGTGTAGTGGGTACCTTTAAAGTAAATTCTCTTGCTTACTTAATCTATTGTAACCCTAACCAACAAATAATACGATCCATTTTGCAGTGGACACGGCGCGGCCGGTGGTGGAGCGCGACGTGTTTCTACTACGGCTGTGCGACGCGACGTGGTGCGCCGTGTTCCGCCACGGGGCCGCCGCCGCCGCCGTGCCCGGGCCCACTGAGGTTACATATCACACTATAATAATTTTCCAATGCCAGTCCCATTATACTATGGCATGCTAAATAGTTTGGAATTGAAGTTGTCACAAATCTATACCAATATTATAAATGCGAAAGTAACTCTGTCTGTCTGTCTGTCTCTCTTTCACGCCTAACCACGGAACCGATTTTGATGAAATTTGACATAGAGATAGTTTGAGTCCCGGGAAGAGACATAGGAACACAGTATAGTTTTTATCCCGGTTTTTGAAACGGACGTGCGCGATAAAGCTTTTCTGTCACAGACAAAATTCCACGCGTGCGAAGTCACGGGCTGATGAATGTTACTATTTCTAGGCCATTAAAATTACCTTGAAAAAGAGGTTAACAATGGTGCATCTTCTCAGCACTGTCCCATTTAATATCCCAAAGTAGTGAAAAGGTTAAACTAATCGTCGCCAACGCCGCAAAGGCGCGAACCTTTTTTAAAAAAGTTTGTGTAAAAACGTCGTTTGTGACGTCACGCGGAACTTCACCGCATCATAACTTCGTAATTACTTGTTTGATTGACAAATAAAAAATAGGTGTCCAATATTTTTTGTGTATAGTTGATGGACTTATGCCCGTTTTCACCATAGATCCCAAATTTTAAGTGACTCCTATTCTAACAAAATTCCTGCCATGTGATACCACAGGGATCACTTAAAAAAAATTAGGGATTGATGGTAAAAACGGGCACTAGTCGGTTAACTATATTATCAAACAATGTTGGACACCTATTTTTTATTTGGGCGTAAAAGTTTTTTTTTAGGAAACTAGCCTAATAGGCCAGTTTTATTTGAGTGTATATTGTCCACAGGTGTGGCTGATGGGCGTGGGCGTGGGCGTGGGCTCGGTGACGCACGTGCTGCAGACGGGGCTGGTGGGCCGCTTCGCCGTCAGCGTCGTGGACGACCTGCTCGTGGTGCACCACCAGGTCAGACAGACCACTTCTTTTGTTGTATTACTAGCTCACCCTATTCATTAATTAAAAGCCTAAAGTCTGACTTAGATAAAGCCTGGTCCGTGAGCACGTAGAATCCGGTCCAATGACCCCAAGCTTGGGGTCATTGGACGGGATTCTAAGTGCTCACAGACCAGGCTTTAGATAGATAGATAGATAAATGGTTTATTTGCAAAACACATATTTAGCTAGCTCTCATATACGAATTTATTATGAACGATGGCTACTTTCTACCAGCAAGCCAAATTTTCGTAAGTAACAGATTCGCCCTCGTGAATTGCAATAAAATGCATGCCCGAATGCATGCAGCAGTGGGAGACGGCGTATGTGACTGCACCAGACAGTCTGCCAATAGAGAGAGATGGCGGGAGATCATGCGGAGAGTTGTATCCGCCTCTACAACCGATGTGAACAACGCCTCAACGTGACCACGACCGCTCTGCCAAGAAAAAGCATGCCCGAATGTTGACGAACCCGTCTTGACTTTAAACATATTTTGACGGAAGAACGAGACATTATAGTTCCAAAATACTGAACTGTCCTATGCATGACATTGACAGTGGGGCGCCACCGTCAATACCGGATCGCTGGTTCCGATTTTTGCCATGTTGGAAACCATATAGTTGAACGATGGTAGCGCCCCCCTGTCATTGAGTTTGGTGGGACAGTTCAGCGTGGGTCATCTATACGACCAATACACAAGATGGAAAGAGATAGTATAGATTGTCAACTCGATAGTCGTATTTTAATTTTAGGTAAACGATCTTTCGTATCGCTGCTAGTTCACCTCATGCAATGAATCATCATGGGCATCATCACTCGCTGCACTCCAAATCTGAAGCAACTGGAGGTTTTTGCCTAGTATTGCCTTACGAGGCTACTATTCTGATCAATAAGTATTGTCTACATTTAGTTTTAAAATTCATTAACAAACACAGATCGAATTATCTAATGAGTCAATAGGTACGTCATTATAAATGTATGTTTACTTTGGATATCAGTAAAAAATACGTAAATTATCAATATTAACACATAATTCCCTACAACTATTGACGCATCAAAAATATCATGCTGTCATTAAAGTAGCTTTTTGTGCTTTATTTTATGTGAAGTAAATCAACCTTATATCAAAAGTACAAAAAATCTGCACTAAAAAGTAAAAAATAAAATTACATCATTAATTTATTAGGACAAATGTATACCATGATTGATATTCTCGGAGTCGGTGCCAGCCTGCTCAGTGCCAAGCTCTAGAAATGTTTTAAATATTACGTGCCTATCAAATTTGAGGTTTTCCCTCGATTTCCCTAGAATCCCATCATCAGATCCTGACTTGGTGACAATGGGACCACCTGTGAGGCATACCCTTTCAAACAAAAAAAAAACATTTTGAAATCGGCCTAAGCGTCTTCGAGTAGGTACCTAATCAGGGAACATACATAAAAAATAAAATATTTCGACGAATTGAGAACCTCCTCCTTTTTTTTATGTCGGTTAAAAATCAACCAACATTTTCTCTTTACTGTAATTTTTGTTCCAGTCCAGCCACACGTCCCAGCTGTTCGACATCCAGGAGGACGTGAAAGTGGAGAACAGCACCGCCCACCACATCCCTACAGTCCAGGGCTGCGCTATGAAGCCCGCCTCGCTGGGAGACCAGCCCTGCCCTATGTGTATCCTTTGAAAGCGTCTGTAATTTTCTAAAGCCTGCTGGTCCGTGAGCACGTAGAATTTTGTCGCGCGTAATTATGTTACTGTCGCGCTCGCACACTCACTGCGGGCGCCCGTCGCACAGTCGCGACAGCAATATAATGAGGGCTATCGTTTTAGCGCTTACCAGTTAGCGCCACTGTAGAGTAAGGTCCTGTCACTTGCTAGTAGCGAAGACAGTGGCACCAACTGGTGAGCGCTAAAGTGGTAGGAAGACTATCACAATTTTGCACTCATCGAGATGGCGCCACTGTAGAGTAAGGTCCTGTCAATCGCCAGGGGTGCCAACTGTTAAGTATAAAAACGATAGCCCTCATTACGCGCGAGCGATAAGGATGGGTAGCTTGGGGTCATTGGACAAAATTCTACGTGCTCACGGACCAGGCTTTATCTAGTGAGCAATGGCGGGTAAACCGAGACAATTAATCGATCAAAGTGCCAAATGGGTGCAGTCCTGTTGTCCCCCCTGGTTCTCTCTCCAGGGGGGACAACAGGATTGCACTGCCAAATGGCCTTTAACCGCTTTTATGGTATAATGAAGCGGCGAATTTAGCTTACCACTGGAGGGGTTAAATGAAAAAGGTAATCCAATTGTTTCCGACACAGAAGTACCAGGTTCGATTTTCAGTGCAGTACGCTTGTTCTCAATCCGCCTGACACTGAAACATAAAGTTCCACCTTCAACTACCTGATCATCACTTTCATGAGGTAAATGCTAATTAGGCCTGACTTCCCTGTTACGGTAAAAAAAGACGGCAATTGGCGCCAAAACACTGCACGCTATCTAAAAACCGTGGGCTTCTATAATCTGGTCTCCGAGCACGTAGAATTTTGTCCAATGATTCCAAGCTACCCATCCTTATCGCTGGCGCGTAATTCTATTGCTGTCGCGACTGTGCGACGGGCGCCTGCAGTGAATGGGTAGCTTGGGGTCATTGGACAAAATTCTACGTGCTCGAAGACCGGGCTTTAGTAGAACACAAATGGTAAACATCTCGCCCTGGTTTGAATTTTTATTACATTTTATTTTCTTAACTTGACATCAGATTCTAGCAACTGGGTGGTGTTCCAGCCAGACTACATAATCGACGCGCGCCTGGGTTGTTTGTGGCGGGTCACACTCGAGCCCTCGGGGCTAGCGCATGCGGTAAGTGTTGCCATATTATACAGGTGTTGCTTGGTGAAAAATATTTTAAGCACACGATTTTAATTTTTTTTAAACTTTTGGTCCACAGAACACAGTTTACAATCGCCCAATTTTAGTCTATGTATATGTCTATTAAACTGAGTCAGTGCTTTAGGTATGGCAGTGGCACGGTAGGGATAACATTGACATATTATGACGTGACAGAGCAAACAAATCGAATCGCATTTGATATCTCGCTGACGTTTGACACCCACGTTCTATTGATAAATTATGTCAATTTTTCACTCGACATTGGCAGAAATAAACCTCCCAGAGAGGTTTGGTTGCCATAAATAAATAAAAAAAAACTCCCATAATATCTCAGGCACCGACTCTATTAAGCCGAATAGACCTATGGTTTATAAGGAAATAATAATGATGGATTAAATGCTGCATAAATATTGTTTATCCTCTCTCTAGCCAATATTTCGTCATCAAATATAAATTTTAAGTGACCCGGTAACACATAACAGGAATTTTGCTTTCATAGGGGTCACTTAAAAATTAGGCATTGATGGTGAAAACGGGCATAAGTCTCCAAATCTATAACTAAAGTGATCTTTATGGGCAGATACCAAAGGACGAGATCTCAAAGATAGTAGCGGTACTATTACGGCGGACGCACGGCAAGGGCACCGTCTACAGGATACTGAACCAACTCGTGGCCGACGCCGCCTTCTACCTGGTGGAGCTCGGGAAAGTGTTCGACGAGATCAACCAGGTGTACAGGTAGGTAAAGCTTCAACCACACCAACGCGACCTGTCATTGGACTTTAATCGCGCCGGTTGATGTTTGAAGCCAAATTAATACACGCATAACGTATTACTGAGTAAATTATTACTTAGGGGGCGTCCATTAATTACGTGAGACAATTTTGGCAGTTTTTCAACCCCCCCGCCCCCCTAGGTGAGATTTTTTCAGACCCCCTCCCCCCTCACAATCTCACGTGAGATTTCGTATAAGCAATCCCATCAAAAACAATACTTGTCAAAAAAACCAAGTCTCGCAACTCAGTTGTTCTACGGTAAAAAGTTGTAAGNTTTGTAACGGATCATGGTATAGAGTTGCTACATGTTGTTCCTGAGAAAAAACTGCTCAAAAGCTTAAAATCTATATCTTTCAGGTAATTTTGTTGACTTTACAATGTATTATTGTCATTTATTAATTGTAAATAAATAAAAACTTTATTATTAGATAATTTCTTTGAAACATTGTATGTTCATTGAACAAAAAAAGATGTTACTATTTTTCAGCGGCGCATGGTTCTCGTGGTGCGCTCCCAGCAACACAGTGTTACTGGCCGGCAACAATGGAGCCCTGCTGCAGCCGTTCTCACTAAATAACTCCACTATAACCAAGCTGCAGAAACTTGAGCGTGAGTACTGTCTTATTATAAGTTTAGCACAATGAGGGTTTTCGCGAATGAAAGATCCGCTAGATGGCAATACGTAGACGCGAGGTCCAAATGCTGCATGATTGGTGGATTTTGACATATCTGTCAATGTCATGTCAAAAATAACCAATCATGCAGCATTTGGACCTCGCGTCTACATATTGCCATCTGGCGGATTTTTCATTCGCGAAAACCCTCATTACTTGGTATTCAATATTGTTTCTGTAATTTCGAATATTATAGACCAACTGAAGAAAAAATAATCTGTATACTATAGAGAATGTATTATGTAAAGAAAGCATTTTATAAAAGTGATGCTGAAAATACTTTTTGTACAGTAAGAAAATTACAAAGCATTAAAAGTAGGTATGTGATTTTGTTTACAACTTAGCAGAAAATTCTGATTTATCAAACTATGTAGAACTCATCTATTTCACTTTCAATTTATGAGATCTACACTATTCAAGTAAATTCTTACTATAATACTTACTTACGCCTGTATTCACAAACATTACTATGAGGTCTCACAGTGCGCGTGGACGCACAGGGTGATACACGAACCAATCACAGAGCTCTTTTTAACGCTGTGCGTTCGACTTGCTGCTTCACTTAAGCAAGCATTGTTTGTGAATACGGGCGTTAATCTATTGTAACCGTAACCAGAGTAAGTACAAATGAGTAGGTCATCTTCATAGAAACGCACGGGCGCGGTTTGTATGTGAGCGCGCCAATACGTATGCGGCGCGCACGCACACACTGACAAAATTTAGCGGGGATTAGCGGGGAGCCAGTCGTGGTTGACCTATTCATTTGTATTTACTCTGCCGTAACAAAGAATACTATCCATGTTGCAGTGGACACGGCGCGGCCGGTGGTGGAGCGCGACGTGTTCCTACTACGGCTGTGCGACGCGACGTGGTGCGCCGTGTTTCGCCACGGAGCCGCCGCCGCCGCCGTGCCCGGGCCCACTGAGGTTACATAACACACTAACACTATAACAATCATTTTACACTAACCACCATACTATGGCAAGTTAAACAGTTTGGAATTGAAGTTGTTGTCACAAATCTATACTATAAATAAATAAATAATCTTTGGACCATTTCACACAGCGCCAGCTAGCCCCACGGCTAGCTTAACGGATATACTACTTATATACTTTTTTTTTTTTTAAATACATACATATTATACATAGTAACACCCAGACCCGTCACAGAAATTAAAATTCATCATTTCAATTTCTGCCCGGCCGGGAATTGAACCCGGGACCTCTCGGCATAGTAGTCCGTTCTAAACCACGACACCAAACGGCCGACATATACATTTAATATAATAAATGCGAAATGTCTCTCTGTGTCGCTTTCATGCCTAAACCACTGAACCAATTTTATTAAGGCATAGAGATAGTTTGAGTCCCGGGAAGAGACATAGGAACACAGTATAGTTTTTATCCCGGTTTTTGAAACGGACGCGCGCGATAAAGCTTTTCTGTCACAGACAAAATTCCACGCGAGCGAAGTCACGGGCTGAAATTATAAACAAATGTTACTATTTCTAGGCCATTAAAATTGCCTTGAAAAAGAGGTTAACAATGGTGCATCTTCTCAGCACTGTCCTATTTAATATCCCAAAGTAGTGAAACGGTTAAACTAAACGTCGCAAACGCGGAAAAGTTAAAGTTTGTGTAAAAATGTCGTTTGTAAAAATTAAAAATATTGCGTATGAAAAAGTTCATCCCCAATTTTCCACACTTGGGGGTGAAATATTTTCTTCAAATTCGCATAAAACCACCCTTTTGATAATACCTATTCAACAAAAAAATAATCGTTCAAATTGATTTATAATCGGCGGAGATATTGCGTATAAAAAAGTTCATCCCCAATTTTACACCCTTGGGGGTTGTTTTTTCTATTATTAAATTGAAATGGGACCACCCTTGAGGTATTACCTATACGCCGAAAAAAGATTTGTTCAAATCGGTTCATAATAATTGGCGGAGTTATCGCGTAACAAACATAGAAAAAAAAACATACGGGTCGAATTGAGAACCTCCTCCTTTTTTGAAGTCGGTTGAAAATAGGTGTCCAATATTTTTTGATAATATAGTTAACCGACTAATGCCCATTTTCACCATAGATCCAGACCATAGATCCCAAATTTTTAAGTGACCTCTATGTTAACAAAATTCCTGCTATGTGATACCACAGGGGTCACTTAAAAATTAGGGATTGATTGTGAGAACGGGCGTAAAAGTTTTTTTTAGGAAACTAGCCTAATAGGCCAGTATTATTTGAGTTTATATTGTCCACAGGTGTGGCTGATGGGCGTGGGCGTGGGCGTGGGCTCGGTGACGCACGTGCTGCAGACGGGGCTGGTGGGCCGCTTCGCCGTCAGCGTCGTGGACGACCTGCTCGTGGTGCACCACCAGGTCAGACAGACCATGTTCTTTTGTTGTATTACTATAGTCTGGTCTGCGAGCAATGACCCCAAGCTACCCATTCTTATCGCTCGCGTGTAATTATGTTGCTGTCGCGACTGTGCGACGGGCGCCCGCAGTGAGTGTGCGAGCGCGACAGCAACATAATTACGCGCGAGCGATAAGGATGGGTAGCTTGGGGTCATTGGACAAAATTCTACGTGCTCACAGACTATAGCGAGCCTGTTCCGCGAGTTTGCATCGAGCGACGACGCGGACACCTCCTAGGATATTTGATCGACACTCAGAGCGAGCACTCACTTCCCTCGTCTATACCACCTCCTGCAATGAATCATCATCAGATTAGCTACGACTTCACTGCACTCCAAATTTAACCGACGCATTTGCATTTCTCAAAAGATTATGCTTACATTTCTTACACTTGCCGGACGGCCATTTTATAAGGCGTTTTCAATACCTGAAATAATCTTGACCGTAAAAATAGAAGAAATTCATGTGGCTACTATTCTGCTAAGATAAGTATTTCCTACATTTAATTTAGAAACTCACCAACACAACAGATATAATTATTTAGTCAGGTCGCCTTTTGCACAATTTTCATCATCATCATTTCAGCCACAGAACATCCACTGCTACATAATAAATCTCCCCCAATGATTTCCAGATTTACTATTTTAAAATGTGAAAAAAAAAGTTGATTTTGATTTTATTTCAAAGGTGTAAGGTACAAAATCAACTAACATGCCTCTACATGACTTTTGTTCCAGTCCAGCCACACGTCCCAGCTGTTCGACATCCAGGAGGACGTGAAAGTGGAGAACAGCACCGCCCACCACATCCCTACAGTCCAGGGCTGCGCCATGAAGCCCGCCTCGCTGGGAGACCAGCCCTGCCCCATGTGTATCCTTTGAAAGCGTCTGTAATTTTCTAAAGCCTGCTGGTCCGTGAGCACGTAGAAAAATTTGTCGCGCGTAATTATGTTGCTGTCGCGCTCGCACACTCACTGCGGGCGCCCGTCGCACAGTCGCGACAGCAATATAATGAGGGCTATCGTTTTAGCGCTTACCAGTTAGCGCCACTGTAGAGTAAGGTCCTGTCACTTGCTAGTAGCGAAGACAGTGGCACCAACTGGTGAGCGCTAAAGTGGTAGGAAGACTATCGCAATTTTGCACTCATCAAGATGGCACCACTGTAGAGTAAGGTCCTGTCAATCGCCAGGGGTGCCAACTGTTAAGTATAAAAACGATAGCCCTCATTACGNTAAATGGGCGCAATTGATTTTGTGAATTAAATTGCTAAAATCTTTTTATAGTCGTGAAAGAAAAGTGGTTCACAATGTGTTAAAGTATTTGTCGAAGAGAAATACTAAGGGTTCGGACTAGAGATGGGTTATACTAGGTAAATTTGATAGGTGCACCTATTCCTAGTATTTATTAATACTCGATCCAAATACCTATTCCACTTAGTACGTAGTAATTTAGCATACTTGACGCGACTAGTGCGGACTAATCCACGTAATATGACTTTAAAATACAATTTGTTGTTGGTTGTTGGCGTATTTAAAAGATATCAATTTCATAAAAATATTTACATATTTTTTTGTACATGAATATGGTTTGACTACGTTTATGTGCGTTTGCTTCGTCGCGCTCAAATTTGTTTGGTCAGACAGAGACGGAGTGAATCTCTACGTTCGCACATAAGCTTAGCGAGAAATACTCGGTGCGCGTAATACACGACTACGGATTACGCAATAATAACCTCTATTACTTTGACAGTAAGGTCGGAAATCGTGTAATTTATAAAATACTAGGTGGATCAAGTATTTAAAAAAATGGAATAGGTGCCGCTTAGTACTGTAAAATACCTAGTGTGTGGATCTGTTCTAGTAAATACGTCTCATCTCTAGTAGTCAGTGAGTGACAAAATTAAGTAACTTTGACCCGTTATAATTCTTAAACTACTGGTTCAAATTGAATGAAATTTTAAATATACCGTGTCTTTACAATGCCTGCACAGCTAATGAAAATTCAGCCTTCTAGTTTTATCCACAACGAAGTTACAGGGGGTCGAAAATGGCCTGAATTGCTTCGAGAAAAGGATGGTACGGCCGTGCCGCTTTTTTGCTCGACTTGGTGGGGGCACTGCCGTGCCCCCAGATGATTTACATTGCATTAGTTATCTATGCTTTAATTAGGAAATTAATATTAAAAAAAACATTACCTCTAATTTCTTTATTGCTTAGAATAAAAATTAAGTAGAATAATTTATCAATGATCATTATTAAATTATTAATACCTTGTTTGTACCACATGAAGCAATAAAGATATTATGATTATTATGATTATTTATTTTTTAATTTAAAATAACCCAGTTTCTCGCAACTTTACCCTATTTCTTGCTGAAAAACATTACGTGATTTTGTCGAGACCCCCTCTCTCCCCTACGTGAAACTTAGTGAAGTTAGAATTCTTGCTAATTTTTTCGCTGATCGATTGTACAAATCGATCGATACTAGGGATGTTATGGATATGTAGTTTCGGTCATGGTTACGGATATAGGAATAATATTATAGCGGTTTCGGTTACGGTTACGGATATTTTTTTTTATTTCGGATATCTGAAAGTTACGGTTACGGATATCCATAATATCCCTGATGTGTTTGAGCAGGAAATGGGCGGAGCTAGAGATGGCGCGTAACACGGCCGGGCCGCCGCCGGACGCGCGGCCCGGACAGCTGCGGACGGTGGTCTCGCAGGCCGACATGTGCACGAACGTGCTGCAGGCCCACTCGGACGACGAGCACGCGGTGCAGGTAAAAAAAACTAAAAACTAGCCAGTATGCTCATTATAAAGAAATAATTGATATGTCTATAGTCTGGTCTGTGAGCACGTAGAATTTTGTCCATTGACCCCAAGCTACCCATCCTTATCGCTCGCGCGTAATTATATTGCTGTCGCGACTGTGTGACCCGTAGTGAGTGTGCGAGCGCGACAGCAACATAATTACGCGCGAGCGATAAGGATGGGTAGCTTGGGGTCATTGGACAAAATTCTACGTGCTCGCAGACCAGACTTATAGATCAGCGCAAAATGGTTTTTTACCAGACTAAGGCGAAATTATAAGAAAGGTTTGACGCAGACCGCCCCATTCGCACTCAGATAAAAGTTAAAACCTATTTTATTAATAAAAGTTACACACTAGTTGAAATCTGGTTTAAATTGTCATTTTAATCCAGTGTTCATTCCGAGTGTAACTTTTATTAATAATGGATGGGGTACCATTTTTGAAACCATTCAACTTGTTGATTGAACATGTTAAACGACCTTTTTCCTAGTGTGACTATTTTGCGAATGGAACGAAATATCGCAATAAAATAGATAAAAAATTAAATTAAATTGAAAATAATACAAAATCAGTTATTGCAACGGGGCATCACAAATCACACAATACGCATTATGTAGCACAGAAACATCGTGAAATTATTCCAAGAATGCTCTAAAACCGTGCTCTTTCCAGGTGGTCACATCGTACCTGGCCTCTTTATCCCGCTACGATATGGTGGTCCAACACCCAGTAGCCGAGCTGTGCGTCCGGACACTCGTGACCAAGGGTGCTTGTGGGCGGCTCCGGGCTTTAGTAAGAAGGGGCTGCCTCGGGGATTCCCGGCCTTTGGCGTGTCAGCTGTTGTCTCTCGGGCACATAGACCCGGCTGCCGCTCAGCTGGCCTTGGATATGATGTGGCGACTGAAGGGCTATGAGGTGAGCTACTGTGTTTATTGCGTAATGATGGGCCTTAGGAGGGGCTGCCTCGGGGACTCCCGGCCTTTGGCGTGTCAGCTGTTGTCTCTCGGGCACATAGACCCGGCTGCCGCTAAGTAAGTAATTTTCTATTATAATGTTATTTTTGTTTCTATAGGATACTCAAACCGTACGAAATTCCCGGGCGTGATTACGGTTTTTCCATCTTTACAACCTTATAAAAAGTTAAAGACCAAAATAAAAATCCTTTTCAGTTAGAATTTAGGTTATTCATGAAGCGAATACTGCCTCCGTTCATTTATTTTTACTTTGAACCTTGTCACAGGACGCCTAAAGCCTTGACTGAGTGGTATTTGAGGTACATAGCGTTTTCCTCAACCCATATTGACTTTTGACCCCTAATAAGTATTTTTATTATAAAGCATTGAACATAATAAAAGTAACAATAAAATAAAATTATAATAGATTTTCAATAATATTAACAACTGAAAATTACTAGTGACAGACACCACCTCAGTAGAATGTTAACAATAATTTCACCTCAGTCGCAGAAGGTTAATCAAATGAAGCTGCGCAATCGTTTTTATTTGTTTACTGGCTTTCTGATGCCTTCAGGTCTCATAAGAATTACCCTGGGTTGGATCATCTTACTTGAACTATACTTACGAGCAAAAGTATGAAATCACCCCTTTGTGTTCCAAGCGATCTTAAGAACTGAATGACTATGTATTGTATGTATCTATGGTATGAATTTTAAGTTTATAATATTTCCTTTAAAATGGTACCATTTTTATTGATCTTCTATTAGTCATTTAGTTTTTATGATCGCTCGGAATAAATAGTGAGATTCTATATTTTTGCTCGCGAGTGTATAACAACCCCTGTCGCCAATTCCAGGACATAATAGAGATCCTGCTGAGCTGGGGCTGGGTGGTAGCGGGGGTGGGCGCGGCGCGCGCGGGCGGCGGCGGCGCGGCCTGGCCCGGCGCCGCNCGGGGACTCCCGGTCTTTGACGTGTCAGCTGTTGTCCCTGGGGCACATAGACCCGGCTGCCGCTATGCTGGCCTTGGATATGATGTGGCGATTGAAGGGTTATGAGGTGAGTCTATGTGTTAAGAAAAGTAATTTTCTATTATAATGTTATTTTTTATAGGATACTCAAACCGTGCGAAATTCCCGGGCGTGATCGTAGCAGCGTAGTTCCGAAGGAGATTACGGTTCATCTTTACAACCTTATAAAAAGTTTAAGGACAAAATAAAATTCCCTTTCAGCTAGAATTTAGGTTATTTATAAAGCGAATACTGCCTCCTTTCATTTATTTTTACTTTGAACCTTGTCGCAGGACGCCTAAAGCCTTGACTGAGTGGTATTTGAGGTACATACTACATACCGTTTAACTCAACCCATATTGATTGACCCCTAATAAGTAATTTTATTATAAAGCATTGAACATAATGAAAGTAACAATAAAATAAAATTATAATACATTTTCAATAATAATAACAACTGAAAATGACTACTGACAGACACCATCTCAGTAGAATGTTAACAATAATTTCACCTCAGTCGCAGAAGGTTAATCAAATGAAGCTGCGCAATCGTTTTCGTTTATAAAATTAAACACATTTTCAATCTGTCAGAGGGAGAAATATTAGCATTATTAATATATTTTTTATTTGTTTACCGGCTTTCTGATGCCTTCAGGTCTTATAAGAATTACCCTGAGTTGGATCATCTTACTTGAACTATACTTACGAGCAAAAGTATGGAATCACCCCTTTGTGTTCCAAGCGATCTTAAGAACTGAATGACTATTGTATTGTATGTATCTATGGTATCAATTTTAAGTTTATAATATCTCCTTTAAAATGGTACCATTTTTATTGATCTTCTATTAGTCATTTAGTTTTTATGATCGCTCGGAATAAATAGTGAGATTCTATATTTTTGCTCGCGAGTGTATAACAACCCCTGTCGCCAATTGCAGGACATAATAGAGATCCTGCTGAGCTGGGGCTGGGTGGTAGCGGGGGTGGGAGCGGCGCGCGCGGGCGGCGGCGGCGCGGCCTGGCCCGGCGCGGCCGCGAGGAAACTACTAGCAGCCGCTAAAGGGGACCCGCCTGCCTTCGCTACCGTGTTCCGCGCGCTACAGGCACGGAACACGCGGCTGAGAGGCGCGCCGCACTTCCTCAAAGGTTAGTTGCTTTTGCATCAACTTTGAAACGTATCCCAGGACATTATAGAGACGCAAGCTTCTAGCAGCAGCTAAGGGGGACCCGCCTGCCTTCGCTACCGTGTTCCGAGCGCTGCAGGCACGGAACACGCGGCTGAGAGGCGCGCCGCACTTCCTCAAAGGTCAATTGCTTTTGCATCAACTTTGAAACGTATCCCAGGACATTATAGAGACGCAAGCTTCTAGCAGCGGGTAAGGGGGACCCGCCTGCCTTCGCTACCGTGTTCCGAGCGCTGCAGGCACGGAACACGCGGCTGAGAGGCGCGCCGCACTTCCTCAAAGGTCGGCTACTTTTACATCAATTTTGAAGCTCATGCTAGGACATTATAGGGACGCAAGTTACTGGCGGTCGCTGAAGGGGACCCGCTTGCGTTTGCTACCGTATTCCGCGCACTGCAGGCACGGAACATATGCGGCTGAGAGGCGCGCCGCACTTCCTCAAAGGTCAGTTTAGACCAGTCTTTCCTAAAGTGGGCGATAACGCCCCCTTGTGAGCGCTGCAAGCTTAAAGGGGGGCGGTAAGAGACCCAGAAAAAAAATCGGGACGTTGTGTAGAGGCTTGGGAGGCGTCATCTACTAGGAGGACTCTTAGACACCGACTGAGCTCGACTCTTGACTACAAAAATGGGGGGCGCTAAAAAATAATTTACTGTCAAAGTGGGCAGTAGACTAAATAAGTTGGGAACCGCTGGTTTAGACTATACTGCATCTCACTTAACACCAGATGCGATTGCGATCAAATACCTACCTGCCTTGATACGCATAAAAAAAAACTGTTCTCTACAGTTCGACAGGTATCACAATAGTAGCCCCAGCCTACTGGTAAATCTTGACAGCTTATGTTTATTTGAAATGCCAAGATGAATTGGATTTTTCTTGCAAATTGATGACGTAGAATAAGTTTTGCTGACGAAATATAAACATTACGCAAACACTTTTTGTTGCTAATTGTATCGTGTGTAGTGTGAAAAACATTCAGTTCAAACGCGCTTACTTATTTCATAATATTTTATTTAATCCTGAAGAAGAGACTATTAATTCCACGTCAAAAATATCGTTAACAGTCAGTCTTTCCATAAATATCGACAAAATCTATCTCGTAGTTTGATCAAGCCACAGAGTGTTGTTTAATTAAAGTATTATTACTCCATTTGTGTTGTAATAAGCATGGGGACATTATCTTATCGAGTAAATAATGCCGGTCAAGTTATCTAGACCTATGCTCGCTGGCTTATCTACGCCAATATTGTTAAGAAGAAAGTGTTTGTGTGTTTGTTTAGTACTTATCTTAGAAACAAACGGTTATGCATATGATGCGCGGGAGTTTTCGATAGAAAACACTTATTATGCATTTTATTACTAAAGGGGTAAAGTTTCAGTTATTGGACACGTAAGGGTCTACTTTTAGGGAGGAAATAGGTGTTCTCTTGTCATATTATGGTTACCGCAAAATTTAATAGAATAGCGTAGTAGAGGATAGTACAAATAGAATCTAATCTGCATCCACACAAGATACAGAACTTTCTGCGTCTGATAAACTAAGGTAGCACTTTGAATTATTGGTATAGGATGACAAAGTGAAAGCGAACCGCCATCCTCAGAGTCCCTCATGGAGTGCCCTGATATGGAATATTCATAGGTTTTAGTGGATAAACTTGGGGCATATGGCTGCTAGTCGCTTGTTAGTCTCTACAATAATCTGCTGTATCAAAAAGGTCGCGTATGTCACTCGAAAAATGTCGCGGGACATGGTTAGTGAGAGATAAATTTTTATTTATCTTGGGACTGAAATATTTAAGATATTATTGTTAGGTGCATACCTACATTTTGAATTACGTAAGATAACAATATTTTTCACAAAATTAGCAACGATATTTCCCGAAAGTTCGATTTGGAAGAGGAGAGAGAATTAACATTGAAAATAAGGAAAACTTTTTGCTTTGCCTTCAATGTCGATTCTAATTAGTTTTAATGAAAATACTACCATTTTGTTTCCGTATCTTGGCCGTTAGCGATGTAATTTGATGACTATTCTCTTCCCTTATAAACTTTCCGAGGGATCGGTTGAACATCCTCCATTCGGGAACATGTCAGCCCGAATGAGATCAATAGACTTCCAATTCTTCGCGTTATAATGATATCTACTCACTGGCCAACTAAGTAGGTAAACATACAAATCCGCCGAACATAATTTCATTTGCCTACTTACTTACATAATTATTTCGTGCGTGGCCATTAACATACAATTAAATACTTTCGTTGTAACCTTGCCGCATAAATGCTTTGCTCAGTTAAATAACATGTCATCATCATCATCATCAACAGCCCTTTACAGTCCACTGCGACTTAGGGACTACACAACAAACAGAGAATGGGCAGCAGCGCTCTCTGAAAAACATCAATCTTTTAAACTGCGATCTCCAACCCGCCTGCCAAGCGTGGAGATTATGGCAAATCCCTCCACCATAGTGGAGGAGGCTCATAGTCCAGCAGTGGACTGTAAAGGGCTGTTGATGAAATAACATGTAGGTAGGTGAAATTAAACTCTGTCTTATTACTAATGTTAATAAATTATATTAACCTTTGTTTCAGGAGAACAATGTGACAGTTACGTGGAGTATTACAAGCAAATCACCTCAGAATAAGTATAATTTTGAAAATTTTAACAAATCATATAAAGATTCTTATTGTTCACGTTGATTGTTATTTACAAATGATTACCTAACCTATTATTGAATCTGTAAATAATTAAATGTATATTTTGTTATGAAATATAGATGGTGATATTTTGATCTGTTTGTCTCTAATGGAACATTATGAGTATTGCTCCCCCTAATGCTTCATCTATTCAACCAGGTGCGATTGCGGTCAAATACCTGCCTTGTCTAGCATAAAAAAAAAATCTCTTTGCATGGTTTTTATAAATTATGCTTATCAAAAAATATGCAGGTAAAGTATCGAAAGTTCGATCCGAGAAACACATAGTATAAATCTCTCAAACAAAAACGAATAATGGGAATGACTTTGATAAAAAACTGCAGAAATGTTGCATATTAAAATATATAATTTTATTGTAAAATCTTACAAAGACAGTTTTATACACTGGACAGGTAACAAATATAGAAATGCATGCTTATAATATAGGCAGGTAGGTAAAACTTAGCAAGTTACATGTGCACCACCGCTCTGATGGACTTGCCAGTGTGCATCAAGTGGAATGCTTCATTGATTTCTTTCAGAGGGACGTCATGTGTAACAAAGTTATCAATTGGCAGTTTGTTGGTCAGGTACTCGTCAACAAGCTTAGGCACGCTGTCACGACTCTTGTACCCTCCAAAAGCCGTTCCCTTCCAGGTGCGACCAGTCACAAGCTGGAAGGGACGAGTCGAGATCTCCTCACCGGCAGCGGCCACTCCGATGATTACGGACACGCCCCAACCCTTGTGGCAAGCTTCCAGAGCTGCCCTCATGGTGTTCACATTACCGATGCATTCAAATGTGTAATCCAATCCACCATCTGTGAGACCGACTAAGACTTCCTGAATTGGCTTGTCGGAATCCTTAGGGTTCACAAATTCAGTGACACCAAACTTCTTGGCCACTTCAAATTTGTCAGGGTTGATGTCCACTCCAATGATTCTCTTGGCTCCAGCGGCCTTGCATCCCAGTGCCACAGCTAATCCCACGGCTCCCAGCCCGAAGATGGCACAGTTGGACCCTGGCTCCACCTTGGCTGTGTTCAGAGCTGCACCATAACCGGTGGGGATTCCACAGCCGAGCAGGCACACTTTGTCTAACGGCGCGGAATCGGCTACTTTGCACAGAGAAATTTCTAAAACTACAGTGTATTCACTGAATGTTGAGCATCCCATGAAGTGGTACAACTCCTGGCCCTTGCAGCGGAACCGCTTGGTGCCGTCGGGCATGACTCCCTGGCCTTGGGTCACGCGCACTCTCTGGCAGAGATTGGTTTTCGGGTTCAAGCAGAATTTGCATGTCTTGCACTGAGGTACATACAACGGAACGACGTGGTCGCCTGGCTTCACAGAAGTTACGCCTTCGCCGACGCTCTCGACGATGCCGCCACCTTCATGACCGAGAATAACGGGGAACACACCCTCTGGGTCCTTTCCGGACAGAGTGTATGCGTCAGTATGGCAGACGCCGGTCGCAGTGATCTTGACGCGAACTTCGCCTGCTTTTGGTGGATCCACTTCGATCTCTTCAATAGATAAAGGCTTGCCGGCTTCCCAGGCGACGGCAGCTTTACATTTTATCACTTTACCGGCAGTTGACATCGTGTTGAATTCACTGGACGTCTGCCAACTATGAACGCTGATGGATGACTGAATGAAAACTTGAATCTAATGGAAAATGGTTAGCTCTCGGTTGGAGATAAGAAGCTATCAATTGATGATGATGTAACAGCAAATATTCAGCTGACCTTGAGCCTTGATCGTGAATTCATGAATTTTTTTATAACGTGAAACGTCGCTCGCCTTCGCCTCGCTCGCTCAAGCTGTCAAAAACGTCATAACAAAAGTTTTTGAAGTTAGTTCTGCTGGTTCTGCTTGCTTGTTTACTCGCCCAAATAATGTTTTAAAAACGTAAAACATTAGTACAAAAATATATTTTTATCTAATGTTCGATTACTTAATTATTAAAATAAAACAAAATTAGCTTAAAAAGTTCACGGATATTAATATTACAAAAAATCAGACCCAACCTAGCTTCGTAAATAGTTTATCAGAACGATCCAAATTCCGAACCAAGCCAAAGCGAGCATGGATAATGGGGATGTTGCCTGGGTCAAAAAGCAAGAGTTTTAATTAGTCCGTCATTTAACTTATCAAAAAATACTCTACACGTATTTTTCACTTTTTCAAACTAATGAAAATTTAAAGAGATAAAGCGCCCCAAAGTTCATAAGAAGAGGCCCGTGACGTCAACGCTTGCTTAAAAATGCCGCACGTTGTGACTTCAACGCACCATAACTATGTAATTATTTGTTAGATTGACAAATAAAAATANAACTTCACTTGGTAAGTTCGTTTGATCATCTAATAATATTTTTATGCTGTTCTAATAAATTAGTTTAGGATATTACCTACTAGATAAAGAACAGAAGTACCTACTTATCTTTAGTCTTAACAACATAATCTCTAAGGGGTTCAAAGTCTTAAAGGGATTGTATAGGAAACTCATCTATCTTCGAATGATTTTATACTCGTAATACTTAATACGGTGTTCTTTTCTTATGGCAAGCAATTAAACAAACTTAAGTGACAGATCAAAATAGAGACCGGGAGAGTGTAGGTAAAAACTATTTCATGACATGACATTTTGAGAATAATTTCTTATGTGAATGAATCACTACATAGTATAAAACAAAGTTGTTTTCCTGTCTGTCTGTCCCTATGTTTGCTTAGATCTTTATAACTACGCAACGGATTTTGATGCGATTTCTTTGATGGATAGGTTGATCAAGAGGAAGGCTTGTATGTATAAAACATGCTTATTATAAAGGAGAAACGTCTTCTACTTAAGTTTACTTCATACTTTTCATCATCACTGAAACCGCTTTTCTTTCGCCAATCCAACAAATCCCTCGATAAAATCCAACTGTCGAGAAAGTATTAATGTAAACTCGCGAAGTTTATTTTAATCAGAAAGAGTTAATTAAGCAGAGGCTTTCCTTAAACAATGGTAGCTTCATCCTTGTTGTAGAAGCGACATTTTTCAATTTGCCCCAGGGCTAAGCTTATTTACAAGCCTGGAGTACTTCGAATGGCCGACTGATGCGAAGTCGGAATTAATTTACTCAACGAAGATTAGGCTTGGATAAACAATATGCAATGTTAAGGGAAAGACAATTATTATTTTTCTTTTTTCGGGTTTTAGGATCCTTGAAAATATTACAGAGCTTCATCCACTCTGAAACAAAGCTTGAAACTCTATACTGTGGTTATTTATACCTGGTCACTATTATAACTACAAATAAGTACTTATAAAGTTTTGTGAATACTCGTACATTACTAAACTTGATTAGGTACCTACATTTTAAGAATACGTAAAATTATACTTTGTGAAATATATTATAATAGCTAGACTTCTAAGATAGTGGGACAGTTTCAGTTTTTTTACATCTATGGCAATAACATTAATAAAGTATATGTTACGGTCAAAGTGATAAATGTGAAAATTATGAATAATCACCGGTTATTATGAATAATTACCGTATGATTTGGTAAATGTGATTAATTTGAGGTCATTTATGTGTGTATAAAACTAAATAGGCGGCTTAGGGGTGGCCCAAGGGCCACCCGCGCCGCACCTTAACCTATTTTTCACTTTAAATCAAAACATTATGTTATAGGCATCATGGAAAAGTAATATTATGCAAGAAACACTCCAAACTCATTATGCCAAATTATATTAATATATGATATCAAAACGTTCAAAAGTTTGGCTGTACACGAGCACGTACACAAGATGTTGTTCTCTTTTATGAAATTTGTTAGTACTAAGCTTGAATTATTAAATAATCACTGTTAAATGTGATTCATTTATCACTTTTACCGCGACTGTCGGTAATTATTCATAATATCCGGTTATTATTAATAATTTTCAATTTATCACATTAACCGTAACATATACATTCATTATTTATCTATGATCTATCTACCAACATATGTAATTACATACAAATTAATGTTCTAAAACAAAAGAACAGAACTAAATAATAACTTTAAAATGCAATCGCATTGTTTTATTAAAATAAACGGTAAAACAACTGACAACAATGTTATCGCTGTACTTATCAGTGTAACGAGAAGGATTTAGTTACAGGGCACAGTCAAACTACAATTCTAGTAAGTAATAAGATTTCATAAGAAATCAGAGACGCTTAAGCCCGGTCTGTGAGCACGTACAATTTTGTCCAATGACCCCAAGCTACCCATCCTTATCGCTCGCGCGTAATTATATTGCTGTCGCGACTGTGCGACCTGTGACTGTGTGGGCGCCCGCAGTGAGTGTGCGAGCGCGACAGCAACATAATTACTCGCGAGCGATAAGGATGGGTAGCTTGGGGTCATTAGACAAAATTTTACGTGCTCGCAGACCAGACTATACCTGAAAATAGTTCTATCTTCTGCTTGTTTTCCCACTCTCCTATAACGTGGGTTTTTAATAAAAGAGATTAGTAATGGCTTGTGTATATTAAGGTTGAGTTGCACTACTTAACTTTAACGGTAACTATGACGATAACCTGTGCATTTTGTATGGAGTTTGACAGATTTTTGACATTTGTCAAAGTTAAAGTAAGATGGTGCAACCCAGCCTTAGAAGCGTAGTTTTCCATGTGATCTGTGTTTTTCACAATGCGAGCCGTTATTGGTCTCGTCTTGGCAACTTTTTACATGATAATGATAAAAAAGATAAAAGTTGTAAAGCACGTAGAATTTTGTCCAATGACCCCAAGCTACCCATCCTTATCGCTCGCGCGTAATTATATATTGCTGTCGCGACTGTGCGACGTCCGCCCGCAGTGAGTATGCGATATCGAGCGATAAGGATGGATAGCTTGGGGTCATTGGACAAAATTCTACGTGCTCCCGGACCAGACTACAGAAAACTTTATTCACATGTTTTTGTGTGTTTTGTTTTTAGAGTTATGTACTTATAGTTACTGCTCTACCATCTGCACTGTGTCTGGTGTCCAGTTCTGCCACAGGAAAAATGGTCTGCACATGAATAGAGCCTTCTAATGAAGCTCGTAAAAAGAGCATACGACCGGCATAAACGTATTGTTACGTTAATACAAAACTTTGATGGACATTTTGTTTATTTTGTGGCTAAGATGGGAAAGAATGATAAGATTAGCAATTTTGAAAAGGATCGTTTATTGCTTCATAAGTTTAATTAACTTATTTAAGAGCTTGAAATTGCAATAAATTGCAATATTTACAGACTATAGAAACCATTTTGTATTCCAAAATACTCTATTATTTTAAATAAGAAGTAGGACTTACCTACTTCACAGCATCACAAGTCTTCCAGCACTTGATGAAATCCATCCAATAACGGGACCGTCTTCCATGCACTTTTACTTTATATTAACAATGAATCATCAAAACATTAACTTA